CTCAGATCAGAGGCTAGAAGTTAGGGAATTTGACAAAAAACTTTAACTGTTAGTGTAATACTTGTGCTCGTTGAGGTGTTAGAACCCGGTATGCACTGGTACTGAGGCCAGGGGGCCAGGGCAGTGAGGTGGAAGAGGAGAGTGCTCGAAGTTAGCTGTGCCAAGGTTACATTCCTTCAGGGCAGAGCGGTGCACTTTAGAAACTGTCTGATTCCCCATTTGGACTTTTTGCTGTTAGGAGCTGACTGGAAAAAAAAAACCAAAAAACCACAGTTTCTTCTCATCTCCCACTCAACAACAATCAACACAGAAGACTTCTGTGACCAATGTGTGGGGATTTCTCCCCAGCAACAAGCAATCAATCAGTTCTGCAGCAGACATCAGCTGGGTGCCCTCCAATTCAATTCTGACACTATCTATCTGGAGATAGCGTCAGATCCCACAGGTGGAGGGCTTAGGGCCCTAGACTGCTCCCCTTCCTGCCTTCAGATGCCAGTCACAAGCTCCAGGCTGTTTGCCTGTGTTTTGTTTTTTTTTTTTTTTTCCTCTTGAGACGGAGTCTTGCTCTGTCACCCAGACTGGAGTGCAGTGGCATGACCTCGGCTCACTGCAATCTCTGCCTCCCAGGTTTAAGCGATTCCCCTGCCTCAGCCTCCCAAGTAGCTGGGACTACAGGCACGCACCACCACGCCCAGCTAATTTTTTTGCATTTTAGTAAAGACGGGATTTCACCATGTTGGCCACGATGGTCTCGATCTCCTGACCTTGTGATCCGCCTGCCTCAACCTCCCAAAGTGCTGGGATTACAGGTGTGAGCCATCGCGCCTGGCCTTGCCTGTGCTTCTAACTGACAGGCTATAAATCAGGTTTCCTGCAACTCCCTCCTTGGGTTCGATTAATTTGCTAGAGAGGTTCACAGAATTCAGGGAAACACATTTACCAGTTTATTATCAAGGATATTACAAAGGATATGGATGAAAAAATACAGAGGGCAAGACATGTGGGAAGGGGTGTGGAACTTCCATGCCCTCTCCAGGTGTACAACCTTCCCGGAACCTCCGTATGTTCAGCTATCCAGAAGCTCTCCAAACCCTGTCCTTTAGAGTTTTTATGGAGACTTCGTTACATGGGAATCATTGGTTACCTCGCTGGCCTTGGGTGATCAACTCAACCTTCAGCCCCTCTTCCTTATACCTTCCCCCTTCAGTGGGTGGGGCTGTATGTCCCAACTTTCTAATCCTGCCTTGGCCTTTCTGGTGACCAGTCCCCATCCTGAAGCAGCCATCAGTCATTAGCATACAAAACGACCTCACTTTTGGCCAGGTGCAGTGGCTCACACCTGTAACCCCAGCACTTTGGGAGGCCAAGGTGGGTGGATCACCTGAGGTCGGGAGTTCGAGACCAGCCTGACCAACATGGAGAAACCCCGTCTCTACTAAAAACACAAAAATTAACTGGGCATGGTGGTGCATGCCTGTAATCCCAGCTACCAGGAGGCTGAGGCAGGAGAATCGCTTGAACCGGGAGGTGGAGGTTGCGGTGAGCCGAGATCACGCCACTGCACTCCAGCCTAGCCAACAAGAGCGAAACTCCGTCTCGGGGGTAAAAAAAACAAAAACAAAAACAAAAAACCTCACTTTGGAGATTCTAAGGATTCCAGGAGTTGCTTGGCAGGAAACTGGATGAAGACCTAATACATATTTCACAATATCAGAGGATCTGACAAATGCAAAGTGTTTGGAACAGTGGCCCTCAGGGAATGGTCATTCCGTCCTCCAAGACCATACCTGTAGTGTGTGGTGATAAAAGTTCCAGCCTGTGTCAGCTGTGAGGGGGAACAGGGAGCCAGCCCAGAGAAGGTGATAAAAAGGTAAACAAGGGGCATGGAGTCAGGACTCTCCCCAACCCCCCTGCCGCGGGTACCCACCCTGCCTCCTCTCCTTCAGGGCTGGCATTTTTTAATTGAGAAGTGGATCTCTCCTCCAGAACTTCCTTCTTAAACTTAAACCTAGGAGGATTTTGTGTATTCTTTCCCTAAGAGATGGTATATCTTTGCACTAATGGCTTGTATGGTGCTTTCTACCCATCAGGCACTATTCTAACTACTACACAAATGATAACTAATTTAATCCTCTTAATCCTGTGAAAAGGAGACATTTCAATTCCCTTTAACAGATGTGGGAACTGAGGCTCAGGGGGTTTAGTAAATTGCCTATGGTCACACGGTGAATAAGCTGTGAAAGCAGGATGGTACCAGAGTCCACCCTCTGTTCCCTCACCCCTATTGCCTCTCAGGATGGAAGATCTGGTTCTTTCTCCTTCACCTTCACTGGCACTAACACACCGGGGGTTCTGGATAAGCCACTGCCCCTCTCTGACTCTCCTTTTTCTTCTCTGGGAAGCAGAAAGTCACCTCAGCCTGGTGGCCTCCCAGGACTGCTGCAAAGACCGGGCGTAGGCTTCTCTGGGAGGAAACTGACACAGCATTGTTGGGAGCAGATGTGTCAAGCTGGGCTCCCGGCATCCTGTCATGGATCAGGGCCAGGGCAGGAGGCCTCTCTGAGCCCCATCAGCAGACCCGCAACAGGGCTCACAGGCAACCTGAGGCCTTGCAGGGGGATCAGGATTGGGAGAGAAACCCCTTCTCTCTGAGAGCAGATTCAGACAGACAGGCATACGCTGTGCCCACGGTCTGCACCCAGGCCAAGACCCTCAGAGGTTAAACAGATTCTTATGTGCTATTTATCGTCTTGGAGAAATTGGAGTTTTCTGGGTAATAGGAAAGCTGACAGACTCCAGCTGGTCAGGCCTGCTGGGGACTAGCAGGGGAAAGAGCAGGAACCGTGGGACCTTTGGGATAGAACTTCACACTCCCTAACTCCGAGGGTGCGACAGAAGCAGAAAAGGGCTGGAGAGGAACTTCTCTGTGGCAAAGACCCACACCCGCGGGTCTCTCTGGCCCACATAGGAGTGAAGGCAGATGCCTGTACCCTTAGAGTTGAGAAGGGAGCTCCTCTATGCCACGCCTGTCATTTTAGAGATGCGGGAACTGAGACTCAGAGAGGGGCAGTACATATCCGGTGTCACACAGCTAGTGGGGCCCAAATTTATTACCAAGATTCCCACGGGAAGCTTTGGCGTAAGGCCTAAGACGCTGGCTGGAGACACTCCCTAGGGGCCGGAGGTGGGAATTCAACATCCAGCGACCACTTGCTCCAGCGTAGACAGCACCACAGTAGGTTCCTAAGTGCGGAAGCGTGTCCTGGGGGACCCAGGGAAGAAAGTCCGAACTCCCTCCCCTGGCATTCTAGGCTCCCAGCCCCCCTTCTGCCTATCTCCTTCACTCCACTCTTCAGCCGCCCCTGGAGCATTCCCAGCTCATACTCCTCTGCACTCTCGTCCACACCCCTCTTCCCATCTGCATCCCCTTTACCCTACTCTTCTGATTAACTGAATGCTCCCACCACTCAACGCCTCTGAAGCCTCCATTCCTGGTCTCCCTACCCTGTAACTTGCCCCTCCTCCAAATTCCTTACTGGAGCTAACAGCGTACCCACTTACCGGTAGAGTGGATGCCCAGATTCACCCCTCAGGACAGAAGCACTTTCTTCTCCAGCTGCCGGAAAGTTAGTGGCTCCCAGGTGAGGCCCTCTATAGACACTGCCTTTGAAGTCAGCTGACTCACCTGAGGAGTCATGGCCCCTTCCCCCATCCCAGTGGATGGCCAGTGATTGATGGGGGCATAAAGGATTTCCCTCCTTTTCCCCCATGTGGGACAACTCCAGGGGTCATCTCAGCTTCAGAGCTTCCTGCCAGATCAGCAGAAGTTACTGTAACTGTGCCTCGGTTCAACTTTTCCTCAGCCTTGACCACCTCCCTCATCGGGATTGTTCTCAAGAGCTCACTAATCTCTATCTCAGAATGTTTTCCAGGGCAGCCAGTTTAGGATCCCCGGTAATGTAATGGTTAAGCAGCCAGCCTGGGTTCCAACAAGGAGCAACTGGGTTTAGTTCTGTGACCTTGGCAGAGTTAAGTAACTTCTCCATGCAGTTATCTGTTAGGTGAGAATAATGCTGAGGCAGTAGCTTCCATCTCCTGTGAGTGCTGTGACAATTAAATGAGATGGTGTGTGTGTTACACGATATTGAGAAAGGTCTCAATATGCATTAGCTATCATTTACATTTAACTTCTCTGAGGCTCAGGCAAATACGGATAGGATATTACTACTCGTGTCGTGGGGTTGTGGGTGAGAAATCAGACTGGGAGACAACGGGTTAGACTTGGTGCTGCTTCAACCTAATACAGACTTTGGGGTCAAGGTCCCCTAGATTTGTGGTCTGGAGGCCTGACCCCTCCAATAACTGAAAACGGTTATATTAGTTTTCCATTACTGCTGTAAAAAATCACAACTTAGTGGCTTCAAACAGCACTAATTTATTATCTGACAGTCCTGAAGGTCAGAAGTCTGGTATGGGTTTCATGAGGCTGAAGCCCAGGTGCCGGCAGGCCGTGTTCCTTCCTGGAAGCTTTAGGAGAGGGTCTATTTCCTGCTCACTCATGTTGCTGGCAGATTCAGCTCCTCTGGTTGCAGGACTGAGGCCCTCATTTTCTTGCTAACTGTAAAAGAGCTGCTGATCCCAGATGCTAGAGGCCACTGCATTCCTCAGCTCCTGGCCCCTTCCTCCATCTTCAAAGTCAGCACAGGCGGGTGGAGGGCTTCTCATGGTTTCTCTCTCTGACCTACCTTCTTTGGTCATCTTTTACTCTGAAGTACTCGTGATTATATTGGGCCCACCTGGATAACCTCCGACATTCTCCCCATCTCCAGGTCCTTAATCACACCTGCAAAGTCCCTTTTTGCCATGTAAGGTAACATATTCACAGATCCCAGGGATTAGGACATGAACACGTTGGGGGCAGCAGGGGTCATTATCCTGCCTACCACAGCCATCCAGCGTGGAACAGTCTTTGATCCAAAATTCAACCCCTCCCTTTCCAGGGAGAGGTCTGTGCCGTTTCCTGTGCAGCAGGGACCTACGGCCCCAACTGCTCGTCCATCTGTAGCTGTAACAATGGTGGCACCTGCTCCCCAGTAGATGGCTCCTGTACCTGCAAGGAAGGTAATGTGCCCTCTCTCCCAAGCTCATCCCCCACATATGAGCACACTGCCCAGGTGGTGCTGCCAGCTGAGGTGGGGCTGCCCCAACCCCACCCACATGCAAGGTCAGGAAGCCTATATTGGTTGGGTTCCAGGCAAGGAAACCCATGCCAGGAACTTCAATAGCAGGAATGTAATGAGGGGATTCATTGCAATGTTCAAAGAGCTGAAGAGCACACAGGGAAGGTATGCAACCCAGACATTAACACCTGTGGGAGAAGCTGCTATCGCTCCTAGGGTTGGAGGAACAAAAGAAAGAGTTCCCAGAGCCTGGGAGTGAAGGGTACCTGGTAGGCACTGAGACATGGAGAGAGGGGGCTGCGCCACCGCCCGAAGCCCCAGACAGAGAAAGAGGGAGAGGACACACCTATCTCTCCTGCTTCCACTCTCCAGTCTGTGGGTAGGTCTCCCACATGCAGCCCAGCTGGGAGACAGCTGACGGGAATCCTGGGATATGCATCCCGCAGGGGCCAGCCCCCATCACAAACAGGGAAGCAGGGAAGGGGAGAAATGGTGCAGTAGGCAAAGAGGCCAGTGACCAGCCTAAAAATGGAGAATCAGCTGTCCCTCAAACAGAGGGCCCTGAGTTAAGCTGCCAGACTCCACCCTGGGCAGAGACAGCACTCCCCACCTGAGGTGGTACCTGTTCCAGGTAGGATCATCTGCCTGGAGCACAAACAGTGAGCACCCAGAGGCAGGAGACCTGGGTTCTAGCCCCAGCTCTCCTAACAGCTCTGTTGAATTTCTGAACTGTGTGTGGAATGTGTGTTCTAACCCAGCCCTCAGGAAAGCAGTGGTTTGGGTGGGATGCTGTGTGTAGAGCTAGGGGGAGTGGGCAAAAAGACACACTGGACCTGGAGAAGTGACAGTCCCTTTCCCTCCCCTCAGGGTGGCAGGGCCTGGACTGCAACCTGCCGTGTCCCAGTGGGACATGGGGCCTGAACTGCAACGAGAGCTGCACCTGTGCCAATGGGGCAGCCTGCAGCCCCATAGATGGCTCCTGTTCCTGCACCCCTGGCTGGCTGGGAGACACCTGTGAGCTGCCTTGCCCGGTGAGTGCCAGGGTGGGGAGGGACAGGTTGGGCTTAGCATTCTCTCACGCCCTTTCCCTGGTGTTAGTTTGTCCACAAGAGTGTACAGAGAAAAGCACTAAGCTAGGTGATGGGACACTTAGATTTAGGTTACAGTCCTAGTCCTAACTTCTCTGTGGCTATTTTACTACTTTGGCCCTCATCTATAAAATGGCAAATACTTGGCAGATGTGGTGACATGGCATCACTTTTCCCATGTTGCTCTTGGTAAACACTATTGACTGGCACTCGAGCTCAAATGCAGCTTCAGATTCCTTCACAACCCAGTGCTACAAGACAACCCTTACTAATCCACGAGACTTGCCATTCCTTGGTAGATAATGTCTGAGCTTCCTTCTGGTTCCAACAGTCTGTACTTTTATGATCAGAGGGTGTGGCGACTAAAGCAAGCACTGTTCAACAATAACCATCCAGACTTAATCACTGGATCTTATAGGTCTGAGATACAAATAAGTTAAACCCACTGATATATTGTTGGATGAGTGAGCAATGCACTCCTTAATGAGTAATTTGGAGTCCTGCAATCCTGAGTTCAAATCTTGGCTTTGTCACATCCTTTGTAACCTTGAGCATGTTACTTCACCTCTCTAACCTTGTTTCTCATCTTTAAAGTGGGAATATAATGGAATCATATCATGGAATTGCTGTGAGGATTAAGAAAAATGAGGTATATGAGGCTTTTGATACCTAATGAGCATATAAGAATTGGTGACTACCTTCTTCCCCAGCAACAAAGAATAAATCATAGTCATTCCTCACATGTGATCAATGTGTTACAATTTGCAAAGTGCACTTTCATTTACAATTTCAGTTAATGATCATTACAGGCCTTTGAGCTTGACCACTGAAAAGTAGAGCAGGAGTATCACCCTCCCTCCCAACCTCATACTCCTGTTAATGCAGCCAAATAATTCTTCAGAGTGTCTTCATGGCTGTGTTGATTCCCACTTACAAAACGTGTCCCCATTGTGCCCCAGCCCCAGTCTCCCTACATCCCTGTGGGGTTCTGGCTCAGTTTTGTCATCCAGATCCAGTAGATCTCACTGGACCCTCTGAAAGTAAAAATTAAAGAAAAGATCCATAGAAGTAACACAAACCTCTGGAAGTTTGGGTCTGATCATTTTTCTCTCCCTGTCTTCTCCACAGGATGGCACATTTGGGCTGAACTGCAGTGAACACTGTGACTGCAGCCATGCTGATGGATGTGACCCTGTCACAGGCCACTGCTGCTGCCTGGCCGGATGGACAGGTAACCTTCCCTTGCTGTGCCACCACCCAGGTACTGTGAAACTGGGTTCTTGGTATTCTACTTCTCTTGACCGTTCTTTCTTCTTCAATACCTTTCTTCTTGATCCCTGAATATGCGTCTTTCCCTTTATCTGCTCTGGGTTCCAGTTCTCCATTCCATTTAATTCAAGTATTTACTGAATATCTATTAGGTATAAGCTCTGTCCAAGGCACTGGAGTCACTCCAGTAGGTCAAAAGCTGACATATGGTGGGTGTAAGTGCTCAATCTAGAGAATATGATGGAGAACGGGACAAGGATCTTTCTCCTTAGTCCAGTCTCAGAATTCTGCTCCTTATATCTATCCTGTCAGCCTGCCTCCTAATACAAGGTGAATCCATCTACTTCTCTCCATCCCACTGCCACCACACGGTCTGCTGGGCACCATCCCGCATCTGGCACTGCCTTGGACTCCGATCTTGCCCGGCTGCATTCATTCTGCACCTGCTGGCCAGAGTCAACTTTTCAAACCCAGACCTGCCATTTCAGTCCCTGTTCAGAATGCCTCAATGGCTTCCCACGACTCATATAAAACTTTAAATCCTTACCATGGCCCAGGGCCCATGGGATCTGGCTCTGCCTGACTCCTCCACCTCGCTCTGCTCACTCTGTGGCTCACTACATTCCAGACACCAGGGCCACAGTCTACTTCTTCAGGGAGCCAACCACCTTCCTGACTCCAGGCCATTGTACATGCCATTCCCTCTGCCTGGATCATTTCCTTCCCTTTTTCACCTGATAACTCCTTGTCTACCAGATTTCAATGTAAAGCTTTCTTCCTCTAGGAAGGCACTGCCCCTGCTATGATACCCACCCCCCACCTGACCAAGACAAAAGCATCCCCTTTATTAATTCTTCTACCCTACATTTTTCCTATTGTGGTACTTAAATCAGAGTTCAATGACAACTGTGGTAACTGTTTATCATCTGCCTCCCTAATGTGGCCATCAGCTCTATGGAGGCATATGTCTTATTCACCATTGTATCCACTGCCTGCCACAGAGATATGGATAACATGGTTGTTAAGAACCCAGCTCTAGAGCCAGCCTGCTGGGGTTTATGACCTTGGGCAAGTCGTCTAACCTCTCAGGGCCTGAACTCTCCATCCCTAAAATACAGATAATTATCCTTGCAACTACAGGGTTGTTTTGAAGCTTAAATGAGTTACTACCTATAAAGTGCTAATAGTGCCTGGCACATAGTAAGTGCTCAGTAAAAGTAGGCCATGAACACAGGAAGTGCTTAATAAGAATTTCAGGAGTGAACCTACTAGCCAGTCCGAAGGTGATGAGCAGCAAAGAGAAAAAAATAATAGTCATTTCTGGCAGTATAGGTTATCAGATTAATAATTAACACCAGGTTGCTGCACAGCCTCTGTTCATAACCAGAAAGTTTCTAAGCAGCCAAGAGCCAGGGACATTGCTTCCTCTGCAGTATCTCTGGCCTGGCTTCCCCTGCCCGGCTGGCTCCTGCCCCTCAGTAAAGAATAAGGCTCCACCCTGGTCACTGGCACCCTAGAATCTCAGCAGAAGCCAAGTGGAAATCAACTTTAATTTTTCATTGCCTTAATTTTGAGTGAGCCGATTAAGATTTTAATGACATCTAGTGCTTAAAAATTCTGTCTTTGGTGAACAATCTTTCAGCAAGGCCTCTGCTGTTCTAAACCTAATTTCCCCAAATGTGGTCCTGAAGTCTTTTCAAAGAAGCAATTGATGTCCTGAGGTTTGTCATGTAGAAGGGGGCCAATGAGAGACGGAGATGGGCCTCCCACTGAGCCCTTCCCACTCACCTCTGCCTCAAGAAAAATCTGTGCCTAATTTCCCAGTCCCTGGCACATTGCTCATTCCTTGGCTCGGCACAGGTTTGGGGCTGCCAGGAGATGTGCTCATGTCTTCCCTTTACCCTCATAAGCCATAGGCTTACTGATAACTGGCATTTTGTCTTATTCATCTTGCCCTGCATATAATATGTGCTTATTAAATGTTTATTGAAATAAACTGGAAGAAGTTGGCCTATAACCATTCCTGATTTTTCCCCTTAAAGTGGGGGAGACTTTAAAGATTATCTCCTCCAACCTTCTCATGCCACAGATAAGGAAAAGGAGTTGTCTGGGGTCTCAGGACATTGGGGCCAATAGGATGAGAGACTCAGGATTGTATCTTAAGGGGGAACCATTTATTCAATCAACTAGCATTTATTGACTCAAGCAATTACCAAACTCAGCAGTAAATGGTAAAAGGCAACAGTTTCTGAGTACCTACTGTGTGCCAAACACTGTGCTGGGCACCAAAGATGCAAAAATGACCAAGATGGCATCCTGTCCATGAGGAGCACCTAGGTAAGCAAAGTCAGAAGTGTCAGTAAACCATGGTCCCTGTCTTCACATTGCTGGCAGGGGAAACAGGACTCATGTGTATGAAGCTTTCAAGTAACAGGTACAGACAAAGCTGTATGCTGCTGGTTATCAAAGAGATGCTTGTCTCCCTGGACAGACATCCAAGAAAGCTTCCTGGGGAAGGAATGGACCCTGAAGGACCTGAAACGGACCCTGAAGGATATGGGATGCTGAGTGGCTACTGGCTTCATTGCATGAACTAGAGATCATCATGTATGGATCCCTAGCCTAGGTTTACCCACCAATATAGATGTGGGGGTGGGGAAGATTCCTGAAAAATAAAGTAAGGGGATTCCCTAGAGTAAGAAAGGAAAGGACCTCTGAGGGAGACTATCCCTATCCAACTGTGGGGAAAACTGGGGCCCAGGAAGGTAACTGAAGCTGCTTCTTCAGAAACTATAGCTGGGAGCCTCCCACAAGGCCAAGGCCAGCCCCTTTGATCGTATCAGTAAGTCGCTTCTGGAACTGGGCACTCCGTATGGGGAAATCCTTGACCCTTCTTTCCACTTAGATCCCATGTCTTAAGCTCCAAGAAGGTCTTGGGACATATAGAACCACCACAAACAGGAGCCCCACTCCCACGGAAACAGGCCCAGAATATAATAACTGCCAAGTCCTAGAACCCAGTGGGACTTTGCAGACACCTTCAGTCTGAGAATAAACATGGTACACTCATGGTTCTCAATCTCCATAAACGAGGACCCCTTGTGACATGAAAACACTAAGGATTCCACAATGAGAGTAGCTATACTTTTAATGGCCGTTGGCTAGGATAAACACAATAGCAACCAGCTGCCATGAATTCAGTGGTGCTTTCACATACACTGTGTTTTATGAACAGGAAAGAGCAGTGTCTATGTGTGACACATGTGCCTTGGTCAGCTGGCAGAGTGCTTGGTGTGCAGTGGAATTGGAGGCCCTGTAGGCAGCAAAGCTCCACCTCAGTGCAAGGAACAGCTGTCCCTAGGCCTGTGGTCTGAATCCTGGGTTTCCAACAACCACAGGCAAAAGAAGTCCTAGGCTGGTGCAGTGACTCATGACTGTAATCCCAGCACTTTGGGAGGCTGGGGTGGGCAGATCACTTGAGATCCGGAGTTTAAGACCAGCCTGGCCAACATGGAGGAACCCCGTCTCTACTAAAAATACAAAAGCTAGCCAGCTGTGGTGGCTCACACCTATAATCCCAGCTACTCGGGAGGCTGAGGCAGGAGAATTGCTTGAACTTGGGATGCAGAGGTTGCTGTGCGCTGAGATCATGCCACTGTACTCCCGCCTGGGTGATTGTACTCCCACCTGGGTGATAGAGTGAGACCCTGTCTCAAAAAAAAAAAAGCCTTATGGCAGATCACAGCTTTGTTATGCCCAGGAAAAGGAGAAACTTGAAGATGGATCCAAAACTTTGAACAGTTTTATGGTTTCCACTTTCCCAAACTCCCTTTAGTCAATCTATGATGCCTGTCCAGGGTTCACCTCTTGGGCACCTGAAACACCACTGGGACAGACCCCTGTCAATGGGTAAAATATGGCTGCCAGATCCCATTCCCTGGGGAGGAAACCACTTGCTCCCCCGCCCACCCCCCACCTACCCACCTGCAACCATCTCCCAGAGAGTGGCATCTGAAGCCTCTACCCTACTGCAAAACTGAGACACTACAGGGAGGGAGCGCAGATGCTGGGCTAGACTGAGGAACAGAAGGATGAGTAAAGCCTGTTGCATGCCCCTCCCTCTCCCCTCTCCAGTGGTTCCACCCTCCCTCCCCTCTCCTCGACAGCCCAGGTGGGCTTGTACAATTCCAGTCTGCCTCCAAATTGGTCCCACTGCTCTCATGCTGCTGCTAAGGCTGGCTCTGTTCACTGGGCACAAGTGTCTTTCTCCTTTCTTTCTTTCTCTTTCCCACAATCGCTGTCCTTATAACAAGGCAGACATGATTTTTCAACTAATTCTGCCCCTCTCTGAGCCTCTGATATTCACCTTCTGAAGCCAAGCCAATCTCCTGGGCTCATATGTTCCATTTCCCTAATGCATGTCAGAATGGAAGCCTTTCTGCCTGGGAAGAAAACCTACCCCAGAGTTGGGGCATCCAGCCTCAGGCCTTTTAAAATTCCTTCTTCGCCTTCAGGCTGTAGGGAACCTAACACACATTTCCTCTACCTGAGCCCAAAAAAAACTATTATAGACTTTGTTCCTTTTTCTTATTGAGAAATTCCATCCATTCCCCCATAGGCCACTGTCAAATTGAGGTTCACTAAATCAAATTGTTGGGTTACAACTGGCATTTTAAAAACTGAAATAGAATACATCATAGTACAGAGAAAACATCAGAGTCCATCATACATAGTGACAGTAAATGTAATTTTTGCAAAGCACTGGTTTCTATTGTATGTGTGCATGAATGATACACATACTGCACTGAGGAGTCTGGTCAGAAGAATCTGCAGAGACCCCACCTACTCTCTGAGCCCCTCCCTGGGTGGGCTGGCAGGGACCCAGCAGCACCAGTAGCTCCTGGGCTAATGTGCGTGGGCATATGGCTCACTCCCAGCTGGCACTTACTTGCCCATAGTTGGTTTCTCCTGGTCCTGTTCTTGAATGCCATACAGAAGAGGCCCTTGTGATCTGGTCCCTTCTTACTCCCACAATCTCATCTCTTGCCGTACCCCATTTTGCACTTTGTGGTTCAACCACACTCACTATTTGCAATTTCTTTCAAGACATGATTCTTTCGCCTGCCTCCTGCTCTTTGTACATACAATTTCATTTGCTTGGTCAATTCCTCCTTGACTTTTAAACTCTGGACATCACTTCTTCCTGAAAATCCTCCATGACCAGCCAAGCCTCAGCTGAGTTTCTCCTCTACATTCCTGGATGCACTATGCTGCCTCCACCTCTTCATACTGCACTGTCCCCCTTCCCTCCATTTTTCCCTCTGCCCTCACCTCTTACCACTGACCTGAGTCTGCCTCTGGCCCACAGGCATCCGCTGTGACAGCACGTGTCCATCTGGCCGCTGGGGCCCCAACTGCTCTGTCTCCTGCAGCTGTGAGAATGGAGGCTCCTGCTCCCCAGAGGATGGGAGCTGCGAGTGTGCCCCTGGCTTCCGAGGACCCTTATGCCAGAGAAGTAAGGCTGATCCCCTGACCCCGAAGAATTCAGAGGGCTCATCCTCCCTAGCCCTCCCAACTAGAACTAGCCCTGGCCTGACAGAGACTGGGCTCTTAAATCAGCCCCCATCTCTTCCTTCCCTCTAGTCTCCTCTCTCTCTGCACTGGCTGCTCTGTCCCCAGGTTTGGGGCCCAGCCCAGCTACTCAGTGGAAACAGGGCCACACCACAGCTCTTCTCTGCAGAAAGGGATGCACCCTCCAAGATGCGGGAAGGATGCAGGTCTCCCTATGTTTTTGAGAAGTGTGGAACAGGAAGGGTAGCTAGGCTGGCTGGGGTCTATTGGGCTGCTGACCACCATCTTCCCTTTACCCTCAGTCTGTGCCCCTGGGTTCTACGGCCACAGCTGCGCCCAGCCATGCCCCCTCTGCGTGCACAGCAGCGGACCCTGCCACCATGTCAGCGGCATCTGTGAGTGCCTCCCAGGATTCTCTGGAGCTCTCTGCAACCAAGGTACTGTCTCCAGTAGGATGGTACAGGGCAGGGAGGTGAGAGGTTCTGGAAGGAAAGTGGCAGGGAAGGAAGGGCTTAGGGATTTTCATCATACTCTGTAAAGGTAGCTCCTTCCCTCTTCAGGACTTGGGCTGCCTTTATGAGAACTGCCCCACATGGCATGAGACAAAGGCCCTAACGAAGTTAACAGGCTCAGAGGTGAAATGCTTTATCTGTGATTTCGTAGCTAGCAAGTGGCAGAAACAAATTCTGATTCCAACATGCATGCTAAAGGGATGAAAAGTGAAATAAGCATAGAGGAGATCTACATCAGAAGTGGCACCATGTGGTCTGTGCCGAGTGCCAAAGGTAAAGGGCAGAGAATGCTGTGGGAGTGTAGAGGAGTTGGTTCTGGCTTGGGCTGGAGATGGCAACTTCCAAGCCCTTCTCCCTGTCATATTCAGGCCACCATCCCTAATCCCTCCCCACATGCTTTCCTGATTTGACCTCAGAATCCTTCACAATACCAACTCCAAGAACTGCTACCACTCAGCAGGAGTTGAAAAGCGATATAAAGCTTATTTGCATTGGTGTTCTGCCCTATCAGTTCTGTGTGGGGGAAAAACCCTGATCTGTAACATCTGCAGATTTTAAAAATATAAATATTCCTACCATGGCTGATTTCAAGGTACCAATGATTTAACATCATTCACAAAATTCCCAAATATTGAACAACCAGTGAGAAGGTAGGAGCTGCCTCCACACATCATTGCCTATTGCCATTCCTGGCTTTCTTAGGACAAGACAGTATAGATTTGGGGGAAGGCTCCATGGACCATGCAGGACTTCAGCTGGGCCTTAGCTTGAAAGGTGGAAAAGGAAGAAAAGCATTCTGTGTAGAGGAAGCAGCTTAGGCAAAGCATAGAGACATGGGCATGCTACAGGGAACAGCTGATGGATATGGTAGCTGGGGGTGGGCAATGGGGGTTAGAAGGTAGGCTGAGGCCTTCAGAACAGGTTTGAACACAAGGTTACAGAACTTGCACTCTGTTAAACTTAGGGCTAAAAGCAACTTCAAGGTCATCTATGCAAGAAATCTCATCTGGACTCTGCTTAAATACTTCTGTTGACTGAACGCTCACTACCTCCCAGGGGAACCCATTCCTTTGATGAATAATCACTACTGAGCTGGGCTATTTTTTGCAAGTGTGTGGGCTGTTAATATGTTTGAGTAGAAAGTTTACTACATGATGCTTTGAGGTCCTGAGAAGTTTGAGCCCCAGGGAAACATATGTGACAGTTTCATTTACTTGCAGCCCTCCTAGGATGGTTTAATCATAACCTGACATGTCGAAGTTTACTTATTAAACATAGGAGACTCGGCCATCAATAAAGATAGTCTAGGTCTAAATTAGGACCCATGCAGCCCGAGGAGTAACTCTCAGATGCTGCGTTGTCTGATTTATCGCCCACTGGCCTAATGAGTATTTCCCACATATAGATCTAATAGAGTTTGCTATTAATGGCAACTGCCCTGGTTAAGTCTCAAACCTTGTAAAAAATTGAACTGACACTTTCTAATGACTGGCTTTCCAGCGAGTTACAAATTATAGACACTGCTTATGCAGAATCATTAAACATAGATTAAATATAACCAGATGTTTTCTTTTCACCAGCCCCCCTTCTGTCCACTGCCCCTCTCTTTGCCTTACTCTTGATTCAGCTAAGAAGTCGACCAATTAATGGATTAGATTGATCGTATTAGCAGTTCTGTGGGTAAATTTCTTGGCCTCATATATGTGAGAAAGACTTCAAAGATAAGACTGTCTTGTTAGAGAAGCTCAGAGTTCGTTTTGCAGGTAGGGTAGGGGGAGCAGCACTGGCACCCTACTCCCCACAGAGGGCCAGGACTTGGGGTTGGGTTCCCCAAATCAAGTACCTCCCAGAGGTAGGAAAGAAGAGGCTGGGCAGCCTGCTTTTCAAAAAGCTGGAGCTTGAGCTGCAAACAGGTGAGATGCATGTCACCCTCTGGGCAACAGAACTTCCTGGAAGGGAACTAAGGTTTCTGCCAGGGGAAGCACAGGGCCCCAAATCAGCCAGCCTGCCACAGCTACTAACCATGGCCCTAGGACAGTCGGTGAGGGCTCCCATTCCCACCTCAAAGATGAGGAAACAGAGACTAGGACAGGTGTTGTGGTTTGCTCAAAGGCACTTAGCCAGCAAGCGGTACAACTTCCTAGTTGTGTGACCTTGGGCAAGTTACTTAACCTGCCTCAGTTTCTCATCTATAAAGCAGAGTTAATGATAGGGCATAATAATGAGACTACATAATAAGAGTATTCCAAGATTAAGTGAACTAAATACAGGCATACCTTGTTTTATTGTGCTTCACAGAAACTGCATCTTCTTGTTTTTTACAAATTAAAGGTTTGGCCGGGTGCAGTGGTTCACATCTGTAATCCCAGCACTTTGGGAGGCCAAGGTGGGTGGACTCCTTGAGGTCAGGAGTTCGAGACCAGCCTGGCCAACATGGTGAAACCGTGTCTCTACTAAAAATACAAAAATTAGCCGGACGTGGTGGCGCGCGCCCATAATCCCAGCTACTGGGGAGGCTGAGGTAGGAGAATCGCTTGAACCTGGGAGGAAGAGGTTGCAGTGAGTCAAGATTGCACCACTGCACTCCAGCCTGGGCAACGTAGTGAGACTCTCTCTTGAAACAAAAAACCAAAGGTTTGTGGCAACCCTGCCTTAAGCAAGCCTGTCGGTGCCATGTTTCCAACACCATGTGTACACTTTGTGTCTGTGTCAGCATTTTTGCAATAAAGTGTTTTTTAATCAAGGCATGTACATTGTTTTTTAGACATAAAGCTATTACACACTTAATAGAGTACAGTACAATGTAAACATAACTTTTGTATGCTCTGGGAAACCAAAACATTTGTGACTTGCTTTATTGCAATATTCACTTGCAGTGATCTAGAACCAAACCCACATCTCTGAGGTATGCCTGTATTTGTGAAGCACATTGAACAGTGTCTGGTGCATTTAAGTGTCATGTATATGTTTGTTGAATACATAAAGAAAACTTGGACCTAAATCCAAGGCTTTGGACTGGAGAGTCTGGTCCACCATACTGCCTTTATTATTTGTCTCAACTACCACATCATGTCCAGGAGAGGCACTGAGTAGATGCAGATCCTAGCCACTAGTGGCCCACAGTCTGGCTGGGGAAGAACTACCAATATGAGGCAGTGTGGTGTAAAGCAGAGGGTTTCAGCCCAAGATGTGAGAGACCTGGGCCCTGAGGAAGTCATGTATCTTCAAGAATCAACACATTCCCATCATCCTCTGTGCTGCTCTCCAGGATCGACTTTATTTTGTGGCAATGGGAACCCACTGAGGCTGAGCAGGACATAGGAGTGCCATGAAGAAAGCTGTGCTTTAGAGAGCTCAAGCTGTAGGAAGCAGGTGGGGGATGAATTGCAAGGGGAAATAAAAGGTTAAGTGCTCAACGAATACTCAAGCCTAGTCCTAAAAAAGAGCTTTGCAGCCTGACTGAGGAAACCAGCTCTTCCTCCAGGGACAAAGGAGTGACTCCTCCAGGAAGGTCTGTGACCAAAATCCTCCAAGTGACTCAAATTGGAAATACCAGTGGTGGAGAGGGCCTTGTGAACTCAGGAGGGCTTTTCTGAGGAGGATGCTGAGCTGAGAGGCTTGAGCAACAGGTCAGAGGAAAGAGGCGGGCAGGGACACTCACTCAGGGCTGGTCCTTTAACAGTCAAACCGCAGGCAGGCCTGCCACACAGCATTTATCCCTCTCTGTCCAGCTGTACACATTCTCTACCCTTGTGGTTGTGGAATCTGTGATGTTGGTGAAAGTAGTAATGGAAGCAGAAGGCTGTGGAACAGCACAGGGAGCACTGGACTGTGAGTCCAGAAGTATAGTGCTCAGCCTCCCATTTCTCATCTGTGAGGCCGAAGTCAGGTGATTCTACCTCCATGGGCCTCAGGCTGTTCTTAAAGGCAATCATAATAGAGCCTTCTGAAGAATGCAGCTGTAGGCATGAGAGGGGCAACTCATTTATGTGCAAATGGAGAAGGGTGACGAAGGTACCAAGGTGGGCACGGTTTCCATCCAGATCCATGACCCCTGGGTGATCGTGGCTGTGGCTTGGGAACTTCTAGGGATGAGGCTGTGGGTGGAGGTCAGAGGAACACAGGTGGGAGGATGGGTGCCAGGCTGCCCTGTGCCCACAGTGTGTGCTGGAGGACACTTTGGGCAGGACTGTGCCCAGCTTTGCTCCTGTGCCAACAATGGGACCTGCAGCCCTATCGATGGCTCCTGTCAGTGCTTTCCTGGATGGATTGGCAAGAACTGCTCACAGGGTAAGTTGCTACTACCTGAGAATGCCCTTACCTGGAGTCAGGCCCAAAAATTCTCCCTTTCTTGCCCAAAACCTCTCTGTCCTGGTGCCTCCACTTCAAGGGATGAAATCTTCTGCATGTAGGATCGAGCCCCATTTAGCTCTATAGCTAACACGATGGATTATTAGGATTGATCATTGGTATTAACTACTGGTATCAAAGGTATTGATATTGTTGATAGTACCATTAATGCTATGAATTCTGAGGCTCAATACACCATTAGCACCTGGGCAAGGAGTAGCCCCTGAGTTTGGATGGGGAAAAGGAGGGGCAACGGCATGCTTGAGTTTGGGAGTAGGGAAGTGAGATGAGGCCAGGGCAGCCACTTCAGGAGAGTAGGGCGCCCTCTGGGTGGCCCATGTGAATGATGTCCTAGAGGCTGTTCATGTAAAGCGCACCAATCTGATGTGAAGGGAACAGCCTCTCTCCAGAAGCCCCCAAACTAAGGACAGAGAACCCTGTGGAGCTCCTTGTCTGATGGGTGAGACCTAGCCAGTACCCTCCGGGAGGTCCTAGTTAGATGGCTGAGGGAATTTCCATTCTGATGAGGAGACATAGGCTCTGCTGTCAGGAGCTCACCAACTGAGAGGAGAGAGCTCCTGCCCTAGGAAAGTCCCCATTCTCGTGGGGAAGCACACACAGTACATACATGGCAAACCACAGTGTTTACCCGCATGCTCCAAATCAGTCCCCTGAGAGGGGAGGCTCAGGGGCCCTCAGAGCCCTGCTGAGTCAGCATCAAACACTTGGAGAGTGGGTAGAGAATCTGGGCTTAATGGGAATCTTGGGTAACTAAGCCAAGAGGTAAGTGCAGGAATTCTGGGAACAATGTGTGAAGCCACTGAAAGCCAGGAAATGTCAGCCAGGTCCATCCTGGCATCTTGGCTCTGACGTGTACTCCCCCTTCTTCTCCCTCTCCGTCTGCCCCTCTCTGCCTTCCCCTCACCCTCTGCATTTCACCCACATCCCAGCTTGCCCACCCGGGTTCTGGGGCCCTGCCTGCTTCCACACATGCAGCTGCCACAACGGGGCGAGCTGCAGCGCCGAGGACGGGGCCTGCCACTGCACCCCTGGCTGGACTGGACTCTTCTGCACACAGCGTAAGCCCCACCTCCTGGCCTCCCAGCCACTTAGAATCCCATGCTGCGGCCTACTGGCCAGTGTCGGCATTGTCCAGACCAGCAGGGAGGGAAGAAGGAAGGCGGCCCCAGGATTAGTACCTGACTCCTGCCCCCATGAGAACTGAGGAGCTCTGCAGGGGCAGCTCTAGACCTGACTGGATTCAGGGGACTGACAAACCCAAAGTCCTGGAAGGTCGGGGCTGCAAGGTACCCCAGCAATCACCAAGACCAGACCCTCCTTGGACAGTGGGGCCCAGAGTAGGGAGGAGCAGCCTGTGGCCACACAGGAAGGAGACCCTAGCCTGGCCTGTGGTTCCACATCCCCTCTGTCTTGAAAAGGCAAAGATCACCTAGCCCCTGCCCCTTCAGCATGAAGATCCCGAGCAGGGAGACAGCTCTGGTGCAGGGCCTCACTAGTCTTCATCCCATGCTCAGCAAAAAAAGAGACAGAAGACAGGTCTGGTTCCCGCTGCACCCCTTATCCTCACCCAGCAGCAACTCTCATGACTGGAAATCCTGTTTCTCTAGGCTGCCCAGCAGCATTTTTTGGGAAGGACTGTGGGCGTGTATGCCAGTGTCAGAATGGCGCCAGCTGTGACCACATCAGTGGCAAGTGCACCTGCCGCACAGGCTTCACCGGGCAACACTGTGAGCAGAGTAAGCTGTCCTGACCCCTGATCCTGGGTGATGCTGCTGGGCTCCAGCCTCCTGCAGAGGATGCCTCCCGCTTCAAGGTCCACTCACTCAGGGCTCTGTACCCCTTGGTCCCTTGACTTTGGGGGCAACTTCCAAGGAAAACTGCTGAGGAATATCATGCCTACATTATTGTTTGAAGAATTTCTCCCGTCAGTTGGGAGGAGATGGGGGGGCATTTAGGGCAGGGCAGAGGTCATAGCAGGTAATGAGAGAATAGTGGGAGACAGATCTTTTTTTATTATTCTTTAAAGTCCCTATGGCACTCAGATTAGGGCCTGGCAGGTGGAAGATACTGCTGAAATGTGTTGCATGAGGAGGAAGTAGGGGTGAGTGGGCCCTGCTCTCCTCCTCTGTCCCTGTGTCCCCCACTCAGTGCTATAAATGCTCTGTCCACCCCCAAGTATCTAGCCAAAGCACAACAGGAGCTAAGGGAATAGGCTTCACTCGGTGGGAGGCAGAACAGGCTTATTGCCATAGCTGTCTACACATGGAATGGGAGGGGTGGAGAGTGAGTGGGTCCTCTACCCTAACTCTTTGTGCCACACAGGATGTGCTCCAGGAACCTTTGGCTATGGGTGTCAGCAGCTATGTGAGTGCATGAACAACTCCACCTGTGACCATGTCACCGGCACCTGTTACTGCAGCCCTGGCTTCAAAGGAATCAGGTGTGACCAAGGTAATACACAGGTGGCAGAGCCCCTGGGCTCTGTGGAAAGGGCCCCATGGAGGCTCTAGGGAGATTCCAACTGGAACAGCTGGATTTGATGACACCTCCCTTTATTCACATTTGTGAGGACAGCAGGAATAGGGTGGGCTGCAGAGGCTCCAAGAGCTGGAGAGGCATAAGGAGCAGGCAGTCTTTCAGTCACAGCCTCCCCAGGCTTGCCCTTGGCAAGTTTCCCATGAGCCAAGCAAGGGTAGCCACAAGCTAGTACTATGGAAAGGTCACCAGACCAAGTTAGAATATCTGCCAAGTTCTAGTTCTGCCTTACTTGCTAGGTGTCCTTGGGTAGGTTATTTGATTTTGCTAGGCCTGTTACTCCACGTGCAAAGTGGGAAGAGTAGATTAATCGTCTTCCCCCATAACACAAGGTTACTCTGAAGGCTGAGGAGCCCAAAGGGGCTCAACCTGGGCTCTAGCCCTACAGTCGGACAACACCTCATAGGGCCTAAAGGAGATGGAGTCCCAAGGTCAGGCTGTGAGAATCAAGTTGAGACAGTATGAGTAAAGGACTCAGCATGGTGCCTGGCCCATAAGTGAACACTCCAATAAATGCTGGCTTTGTTATATAATGTGCTACAAACATGTTGGTTCTACATGGGGGATGAAAATGGACTCTCAATTATCCACATTACAGAAAAGGAGCCAAAAGACAGATTTCCGTTGCATTCTGAGGATAAATCACTGAGAACGATAATGCAGCACACTTACCTCCCTAGTGATGTTGGCCAGCTCAGTTCAGCCAGCAGCCAACAGTCAAGAAGTCCAGACACTGCAGGCCTGGCAGGACAGCCCCCTAGACTAAGCATCAGCATGGAAGGCAGGGGCAGCCCTCACATACATCACCAAGAGGGGTCCTGCGGGCGGTAAACCTGGAAATAATAGCACAGTACTTAGAGCTTTCCTTGCCAGTCTATCACTTGGTGCTCACAATGACTGGGGAGGGTGGGGCTATTGTCCCCGTGTTACAAACGAGCAAACCAGGGACTCTGAGCCACACAATTAGGAAGCAGGGAGAGGAGCTGTGTTCAATTTCTCCTGACTCCACCAATTATAGGTTATGTAATCTTGGGCACATTACCTAACCTTTGGTAAAATTGGCTTTTTCATCTGTGAAAGGAAAATACTAATCCCTTCATAGGGCTGCTGAAGAGTAAATGAATTAATATCTGTTAACTCATTTTTGGAACACAGTAAAACAATAAATATTTGTTATTGTTTCACATCCACAGTCACAACTGCTCCTTGTCATGACCCTGGGACTCCCACCCCTTTAGGGACGAAGGCACAGTGAGGGCTGGGGGTAGTCACCTAGAGACTGAGGAAATCAGGCCAAGGCCAGAACCAGGTCTCCTAACATTAGAGGGGTTACGGGCATCTGAGCCCGGGCCCAGAAGACCTGAAGTGCAAGCAGGCCAGCCCCAGGCTCAGGCCCTCCCTCTGCCCGCAGCTGCCCTCATGATGGAGGAGCTGAATCCCTACACCAAGATCAGCCCAGCACTGGGTGCAGAGCGGCACTCGGTGGGTGCTGTCACAGGCATCATGCTCCTGTTATTCCTCATTGTGGTGCTGCTGGGCCTATTTGCCTGGCATCGGCGGCGGCAGAAAGAGAAGGGCCGAGACCTGGCTCCCCGCGTCTCCTACACACCTGCCATGAGGATGACCAGCACCGACTACTCCCTCTCAGGTAAGGGCCATGCTCCTGTCCTTCCTCCTCTTCCCCTCCACACACACACCCCAGGAATGGTTGCACCTGTAGGGTTGACTGCTGTGGCTGGGTGTAGAAGCTCGGTCTCCCCTAGAGTGACAGTGGGGATGGGGAGCAGGAGCCTACCTAGAAAAGGTATCTGGGGTTCCAAGAGGAAATTGTTTCCTGAGTCCCTAGCTCTGAGCAGCTATGGTTGGGAGCCTCCTCCCATTTTCCCAGAGCTTCCCTATCCTTCCCACCAGCTTTCGGCCTCAGGGTCACCCACACTAACCAGTCACTTTCCTAAGCTCTCCAGGGGACCGTCTCCCCAACCTGATGCCTGTACCACCTCAGGAGACTAGACCTTGGAGCCCAGTGCCCAGAGCTTGTCCATTTGTTTCCCTGGTGAAGGCCTCAGGACAACCCTCCTTCCCAGTTCCCAGTTAGAGAGGGCCCTATTAGTACAGTGGAAGGGGACACTACCTGACTTGGGGGAGGTCTGAAAGTTTGAACAATGTCCCTCTGGCAAGTGTGCCAGAGCCCAGTGCATCCACGAATGTGGTTAACAGCTCCAATAGGCATTTTAATTGGGAGTCTGAGTGGGGTCAAGGTGGGGCTGCTGGGCGATATCCTTCCTTTCCCCTGAACCCTGGACTGCTGCCTTGGAAATAAGAAAGGTTTTTTTGCTTCATATTTGGCTAAAAAGTAGAGGCCAAAATGCTCTGAAATTGCCCTATAGTCATGGACCATGCGAGGCTGGGCCCGTCTGGATGGGCACCAGGTGACAGCTCTCTCCAGGTGGCTCCATGGCGCATGGCTCATGGCTCATGGCTCATGGCTCATCTGCAGCCTCCTGGACCTTGTGCTTAGAAAACTCAAATCACTTCAGCCCATTCCTGCTAAGTATTGCCTTCTGTATGTCCAGCTTCATGCTAGGCACTGCAGGGTAGACAGAGGCAGGCCAGTGCACACCATGCCTTCAAGGAGCTCCTGGTCTACATGCCACACTACAGCAAGCAGACATCCCCCACATGGGAGATTTGGGGATTTTCTTCTATGACTATACTGAGAAGGTTGGCTAGGGTTTCCTATGCCATTCCTCTGGTATTCCCCGGCCCTATGGAGAGGTTCTGGAATCCTTAGGAGGGAAGAACGGAGTCAAGAGGAGTGAGGTTCTCTTTATGATCTCATTACCAGGATGTGACCCTAGAAGGAAGCAGGAGTCCAGCCCTAAATAGGGACTCAGAAACATGTAAGGCTATCAAAGCCAACATGCCCCATCCAGGCTCCAGTTGATGGTGCCCCGCCCTGGCACTGGCGAGCCTATCCTGCATTCTGCCATGCTGCAGGGAGGACCAGCATAAGGGAAGAAGCAAATCAGGCTCTCCAGATTTCGGTAGGGGTAGTGGATGCCAGGAAGCTTGGGGGATGGGGTACTTGGCTGTTTGTCTTTGCAGGGCTCTCTCAAGGCTCCCAGCCCAAGCATTAGTACTGGGGGTATGTCATACCAGGGGCAGGGGTATGATGGTATGTGGCACCTTGTTCTCTTCCCAGATTTGTCTCAAAGTAGCAGCCATGCCCACTGCTTTTCCAATTCCAGCTACCACGCACTGGCATGTGGGGGGCCTGCCACCAGCCAGGCCAGCACTCTGGACAGGAACAGCCCCACCAAGGTACCGGGCCCCTGATTCCCCAGCCCCCACTCACTGCCCTCTCATTTAACCCTCACCTCTGCCCAGGAAGGAACTGCATCCCCCACATGGAGGGTCCATGTAGAACTGACCGCCAATACATTAAAAGCAACCCTGTGATCCATGGTACATGTAAACACTCTGTGAAGCATGTAATGAAGCCAGCATGTTATGTGGAGCCAAGTGCTGTGTAACCAACCCACAGCATCACTCACTATAACATGTACCCCTGCACCCTGTAACCAACTGGTACCAAGTCATGTAATTACGTATTAGCTTTATCACCTATAATCATGTAGACACTTTTGCCACATGTCAGCATGTAATCAAAACACCAGACCACCTTGTAGGCCAGGCGTGGTGGCTCACGCCTGTATTCCCAGCTACTTGGGAGGCTGAGGCAGGAGGATTGCTTGAACCCAGGAGGTGGAGGCTGCTGTGAGCTGAGATCGTGCCATTGCACTCCAGCCTGACGACAGAGCAAGACTCCATCTCAAAAAAAAAAAAAAACAGAAAAGAAAAAAACTAGACCACCTATCACAAATCACTGCAGTATGCTACCAACACAATGTGTGCAACTGGCATATTATAGAGTAACTACTGTTATTCAGATAACTACCTAACAATAGGTTATCTGAAACATAACCATGTCATCAGTACCCACTCATAACCATTTGTTGCAATCTCAATCAACACAAGGGATGTGGAACCCAAACTTCAGCCACAGCCAGTGTTCTGTGGACAGTGATTTCTGTAGGTCTTCATGGCAGGTGTGCACCCTTCTGGACAGGACCTTCCCTGACAGCTTCCAGCATAACCCTGGCTGTTGGCAAGATGTCCTCTTATACTCACAGGCCCTTGGGCAAGGATGTCTCCGCACCTATGTGTAGATAATACATATGGGAGTTCCCTTAATGTGCCCAGACTCATACCAGGCAGAGCGGGAAACAAGAAGTGAGGATGAACAGTCCCCGAGGACAGGTCTGAGAGGCTCATGCTGCATACCTCTGGATACCCACCTGTGCCCATGCCCACAGACACAGAACAGTGGGGAGCAGGGCCATGGTGGGAGTGGGAATTTCAGGATTCCTAGCTTCCCATAATACCCATTCAGGGACAAAAGCATGGCTTTCACTGTCCAGGGCTATGCCCTAGAGATCTACGAGTCCTTTCTTCCCTGTCCCGTGGAGAATGACCATCGGCCTACAGACCTGGTCCAGCAACAGTAACACATATATACAGCCTCAAGGGCAACCACTATCAAGCTAACACCCCAAGACCACTCTCAGCCTCCACCCTCTTTTGGTAAGGGGCTGGAATTACTGCAGAGTAGCCAACTTGGTGACCCTCTGGGTCACCTCAACCCAGGGGCCCAGAGTGACTCTATATGGTTAAGGACCCCTCAGTCTAACAGATAGGGCATCTGCAGCAGAGGCAGGCAGCTGTGATGACATGGAAAGGACATGGCACTGGGAGCTGAGACCTGAGTTCCAGACACAGCTTTGTCACTGACTCCTTGTGTGTTCACAAGCAAAGCACACAAGTCAGGACTCAGGTCGCCATCTGTAAAATGAGGATAACCATCCTTGCCTCATATGAAGGGCAGCTGTGAAAATGCAGAGAAAGGAAAGACGACAACATAAACCTCACGATACTCTATTCTGAAGCTTTCCTTTGGTCACAGGAAAAGGAAAATCTCACATTCAGCCCTAATCAAGATCAGGTGGCAGAGGTAACAGTGACATTGCAGGCAGCCTCAAGACTTCCCTCTGTGCTGGAGATGGCCTCATGTTGCAGCTGAGACATCACCAGAGGCCCCTCTCCTAAAGCTAAGCCCCACCCCCCAGCTAATCTGCTTCCTCCATCAGGGCCAGCTTGGCTCAAGCTACCCCAGGAGGGCTGGGAACCCTACAACTTCAGCCCAACACCTGGGGTGGGGTATGTTCTGTTCCCACTGGCATCAACCACACCATGGTGGCCTGTCATGGAACACCTAGCTCGCCCTTTCTTTCAATGGCCTAGGACCCAGGTGGGTCAGGATTATCACAGGGTGCGTGCACTGAAGCTACGCAAAGTGAAGATTGGGGAGGGGTACCTGGGGCACTATATATTAACTGGCTCTCCTACTCTCCAAACAGCTCAGTAACAAGTCCCTTGACAGAGACACAGCAGGCTGGACCCCCTACAGCTATGTGAACGTGTTAGGTCAGTAGTGGTTTGAGTCTGGTCCCCACCATCATGTCCCACCCTATTCTTCTTCCACATTGAGAGGGACCCAGCTTGAAGGGAAAGGGTTATGAGTCCTGAACATGGTTTCCCCCAGGGAGAAATATTGGCTCTCACAAGCAGATGAAGCCCTAGAATCCCTTTCCATTACTATATTAGGGCTAAGTCCCTGCTATGACCCAGGGACCACAAGGGAGAAAACCAGGGCCAGGATGTAGGGAATCTAGATGGAAGCAAAAGACACTCACCATCTGGATAGGAACCTCTGCCTGACCCAGGCCCTACCAAGGCACTCCTTTCAAGGGCTTCTTTCCCCTGCCTCCTCCCTGGTGGAGGAGCACTAATTCCTGCAGAGGGAGGGAGGAAGGAACGGAGGGAGGGAGGGAGAGGGGAAACAAGGCAGATGACCTTGGCTCTAACAGAGCCCCTGGCCCCAGCCCCTCTGGATGCTATACACAGAGGCCCCCAAGTCCTCCCAGCCTGCCTCACCCTGACCCTGGCCCACTTGTGTACTTCCTACCCTCTTCCCTGCCATACCAGGGCCCTGGGAATAATGGCTCCTCCCTGTCATTCCTCTCACTAGACTCCCATTTCCAGATCAGTGCCCTGGAGGCCAGGTACCCGCCCGAGGACTTCTACATTGAACTTAGACACCTCAGCCACCCCGCTGAGCCACACTCACCAGGTCAGACCCCAGCCCTACCCTCCACCCCCTCATGCCAGACCAGACCCAGCACCTGCCCTAATCCCCATCCCTGCACCTTGACCTCCACCCCATGGTCCCAGAACTCTCCCTTTTAAGCCCTCTTCCCTCCTAACATGTCTACCAGCTCAATCCCCTATCTAAAGATGGAAACCTGTCTGGATCTTCCCCATCACCCATTCTGTTCCCACAGTGAATGGTGGATGTGGACAAACGGGCTACTTAGGGTGGAGAAGATACAACAAAACTGCCCTCCCTACAGGCCACAAAATACAACCCAACATCATTCAAAAATGACTTGGGGATGGTGACATCTTTGGGGTTCTTTGGGCCCTGTTGGCGTGGATAACAGGGAGTTAGCTCTCTGGCTAATAAAGTCCAGTGTTTCCCACAGACTCCAGAAACCCCAGTGGCCCAAGCCAAGCTTTCTCAGATCACAGGGTAGGGTTGTCAAACAGGGATCTGCAGAGGCTGGGGCAGGATGTATCAACCAACATCATCTGTACTCATGTACTGAGTACAGCCTGGGCTGAAACCTGGTGGCTTGGGAGAGACACACACAAGAGACTTGGAAAGTTAGCTCTGAGATGGGAACATGTGGGTAGGAGTTACATAAGGTATCATAGGAATAAGCGCAATGAATGAACAGAGAATGTGGCCTCCCTACAAAGTGGCTCCTCTGGGGCACACTGGGACAGGGCCTTGGCACACTGGACAACTCTAGGCCTGACCTCAGGCTCTAGGTGGCTTCTAGAACTCTAAGGAAACTGAGCTGCTCTACCAACCCCTGCAGGTCCCTGGGTCCAGTAACACGAGGAAGGGTGAAAGTTCTGAATTCATCTGCCCACTGAGCAGGCATGGGCTGCATGGACCCTGGGCCTATACTCAGGAGGCTGTATTCTTAGCTGTGGGTCCCCTGGATAGTATCCAGGGCATTTAATAACCCCACTAAGTATAATCTCTCCCACTCCCCTAACATATACACACACACAGCCCCACCACCACCACCCTGTATCTCTTTCCACAAGGGAGCATCCTCTGAGCCAGGCCAGATTTCTCCCTGCTTTACAGATCTCACTCTTCAACTAGTGTAACCAGAGCACCATGCGCTGGCATTTGTCTTACACCCAGGCAGGCTGGTGTCCAATGCGAGAGAATACTTGGAGAGATGTGGGCTGTAACTGTAACTCAGCTTCTCACTTGCCAGTGTGGTTTTGGACAAGTCACTGCTGCTCTTTGGGCCTGTTCCCTGTTCTGTAAAAAGGAAAAGTTAATGCCCTAGCCACCTTCCCTCAGGGAGGGCAAAGGAAGTCCTTTGTATAAAGTATAAAGTGCTAAACTAATGCCAGCATATAGGCAGTTGCAGTCATGATTCTGAAGGACACAGGTACCTATACACCTTTCAGGAAAAATTTGAGGCCGGGTGAGGTGGCTCACACCTGTAATCCCAGCACTTTGGGAGGCTGAGGTAGGCAGATCACGTGAGGTCAGAAGTTCAAGACCAGCCTGGCCAACATGGTGAAACCCCATCTGTTAAAAATACAAAAAAATTAGCTGGGAGTGGTGGCACATGCCTGTAGTCCCAGCTACTCGGGAGGCTGAGACAGGAGAATCGACTGAACCTGGAAGGTGGAGGTTGCAGTGAGCGGAGATTGCGCCACTGTACTCCAGCCTGGGTGACACAGCGAGACCCCGTCTCAAAAAAAAAAAAAAGAAAAGAAAAATAGCAAACTTGAAAGAAAAACTTAGGCCTGGTTCTGTATCCCTCAGTAATGTGTAGAAGGTAGGCAGATGGGAGTAGATTCTTTCAAATTCAACATGGGAACTCTATGTAGAGGAGCTATAGGGAGGCATCTAAATAGCAACAGGATGGTCTTCAGTGTGAGAAACTGGGAAGAATCATGGAATGTCAAACTGTGTTTTAGTAAGTACTTGCTGCAGGCCTCGCTTGGTACTGTGTCCTCGGTTCAAAGCTGGAAGAAAAAATTGCTCTTTGAGCCAGTCATTACTGTCCTAACCTAGAAATGCCAAACAATTTCTTTTCTGGGATCACCAGTAGCAAAGAACCCAAGCTTAGTCCCTGAAGCCTCTGGCTGAGGCTCAGGGCCATCATGCGTTGTTGAAGCTTAGGAAAAAACTGACAGCCAAAAGGTAGAAAGGAATCCTTGGGGCTGAAAACACTGGTAATACTTTCCAAAAACAACTCTACATTATGTGCAAATGGTCCACCCCAAAAAATGAGTAACTAAGGGAACTGGCTATGGGAGGGAATGTCTGCACATCCTACACAGACGACTAATCAAGAACCTCAGCCACCTGTCTCCCTCTTTCTCTCTGGCTCCCCTCAGATAAGCCTTGGATCCAGGAGAGGACAGACAGGACCAGAGCTGAGAGGTGATAAATATTATCTTCAAACCCATGCCAAATTCCAACAGAACTGTGATTTGTAATGTCTTACAACTTTCCCTCAAGCTAAGAACTGGTTCTGCTTCATTCCTTATCCTATACCCTTGGAGCCTGGAGTTTCACCTGCAGGGAATGCAGGTGGCATCAGAACGGCCTTTTATTACTTTCTGAAAGACATTCCCCTAGGGTGAAGGTTAAAGGGAAGGAGTGCTGAATATGCCAGGGGTCGCTGTAGTTCACCTTAATGCTTATGAGCCTTTTAAGAATTCCTATAATCAAAACAATTTCAGGTGGATTAAACCCAGAATCATTTATCAGAATAATTTCAGGTAGATTAAACCCAGAATCATTTTCTAGCAATAAACAACTATTTATTTTCTGGGTAGGGGAGAAAGTGGGGAAAAGCAAGAAAAAAGAACAAACACAAGCAGTCTAAGTAAACCTCACCCCCATATTTTCTTGCCTTACGTTATTTTTACACAGGTGCTTGTGGAATGGATAGACGTCAGAACACATACATTATGGACAAAGGCTTCAAAGGTAGAGTATCCAATCCCGATGTCTTATTACAGAGGGCTTAGCAAGATAAAGAGTGCAGATCTGAAATGGCCAGGAATTCCAATTGAGAGAAACTGCGTGTGTCTGCCCCCACAAAAGGTCAAAAGACCACAGGGCCTGGGGCTGCTGGGTAGCTGTGCCCAGGAGGAGCAATCATAATAATAATGGAATTCATCTTTCGATTTCAGTTGCACCTGCTTAGCAAATGCTTGTGGGTTTTTTATAGATGCCAACTAAATGTCTTCGGAAATGTAAAGCGTCATTATCCAACCAATTAGTACGAGTTAAATTGATTATAAAATCTGAAATAAAGTTGATCTACCTGCCCCAGAGGCCTCCTGTCGTTGCACTAGCAAGGAATGCCACCCTGCACGTGCTGGCTTTCTGGGGGCACAAGGAATGAAAATGATATGCAGTGTTAATATTATATGGCACTCCAACCTCAAGAGATCTCTGCCTCCAAGAGCAGAGAAGCCAAGACAAATCCCTAACACATGGGAACTGCAAGTTGGATCATCCCTCTAGGAAGTCTACAGGTGAAGCCAAAGATGAAAGGTCAGGTCCTGCCCTAGGTTTAAATGCCAGAATGTGTGAAATAGGGGGCTTTGGAACTCTGTTACTTGCCACTCTGTTGCTTATTAACTGTGACCTTAGACTGTGAGCTCTCCAAGGCTGTTTCCTCATCTGCAAAGTTGGGATAATTTTGCCTGTCCTATTGTCTAATGCCTGTCCCATTGTCTAATAAGGTTATCATGAGTAACCAATAAAATCACAGATGGGAAGTGTTTTTGCATACTGTAAAGGTGGTACTAATGTAATGGGGCTATTCTTTTGTCTCGGAGGTCTATTTAAAACAGCTTAAGGCCAGGCACAGTGGCTCACACCTGTGATCTCAGCACTTTGAGAGGTTGAGGTGGGCAGATCACTTGAGGTCAGAAGTTCAAGACCAGCCTGGCTAACATGGCAAAACCCTGTCTCTACTAAACATACAAAAATTAGTTGGGCATGGTAGCATACACCTGTAATCCCAGCTACTTGGGAGGCTGAGGCACAAGAATTGCTTGAACCCGGGAGGCAAAGGTTGCAGTGAACCAAGATCACGCCACTGCACTCCAGCCTAGGCGACAGAGCAAGACTCTGTCTCAAAAAAAAAAAAAAAGAGCTTAAGCCAAACTGAGATACGACAGCAAAGGTCCCAATGCATATCCTAAATCTAACAGTGTACCAGAATCAATCACCTGGAAAGCTTGTTAAAAATACAGATGTTCACGCCCCATCTCCTCAAAACTCTGATGCAGATCTAGAGTGGGGCCCTGGAATCTGCATGTATGAAGAGCACCCTCAGGGTATCCTTATGCAGCTTATTCCCCAAACACTGGTCTAGACTGACCCAGATGTCCCTGATTACTGTTCTAGTCTTTCGGACCTAGCTTTACATACACCAAGACACAACCATTCCCTAACCAAGAACAGCTAGTCGTCTACAGTCCTTTTGGGGAAATGGTTATTAGATGTGGGGTGAGCTCAGGGTAGGGGGTGGTGGTGAGTACTGCGTTCTGAACAAGAGGCTGAGTCACTATCAGCCTTTGTTAGGATATGCACAGCCCAAGAGAACTGTCTGAGGACAAAAGGTCATCCCCAGTCTCCCAGCCAGCCAACAGACATTCCCTTGGAAGCATTATTTTGGCAATTTTCTGTGTGTTTTGACTTAAACCATCCAAATGAAGAACAGTAGGTAAGGCCGAAAACAAAGAACAGTTCTACTATTTCATGACTATGACCTGGTACCTCAGTTTCTTTCTCTAAAAGGTATGGGGATTGGGCAGAAAGATCTCTAAGGGCCTTTCTAGCTCAAGACCACGCATGAATCAAGCGTGAATAAACTCAGGCCCAGAAACTCCAATAACTGAACACACAACTTTCCTATGCACTGTGTTGTCCTGTACATTGTGATTAGGGTGGTTACTTTCAAATTCGCATATACAAAAAAGCTCAAAGCTTAACATGTAAAAAAAGACACACGTAAAACAAAGCTCAGGAAAGCAGTGTCTCTGCCTCAGCATACATTTCATTCCTATTTCGTAGAATCACATATCTGACCTCTGAGTGCAGGGGAGGGCTCAGCAGGCAGCCAGCCAGATTTTATTTTACCACTCTGGCTACAATGATCCTTTAAAGAGAAAAGAGAGCTATGCAAGCAAATGTACCAGCAGGTGTTGGGGACCAACACATCAGAATAAGAACTGAAAAAAAGGAAAATACAGTGTCACAGTTCAGAACTTTACAGCAATACTTACCAAAACATGGAATAAACCCCACTAATTGGCTAACGCCCCCCAAATAAACATTTAATAAGCTAGTCTGTAGCACAAATGAAACTAGTTCCTGAAACTACTGGGGCAAACCAAATCAGAACTACTAAGAATTAAGAGTCTCAGTGTTCTCTGAACTCAGTGGGGGAAAAAGCCCTAGCCTAGGAGTTAAGGAATGTGGGTTGTAGTCCTAGTTCTTGCTGTGTGGTGCTGACTAGGTCACAGCACTGTTTTCTGGGTCTTGGTTTCTTCCACTATAAAACAATGGGGTTGTACTAGCAGCATCTCTAAGGCCCTTTCAATCTCTGACATTCTAGAAGTCTTAGGTAGCCGGACACAGTGGCTCACGCCTGTAATCCCAGCACTTTGGGAGGCCGAGGTGCAAGGATCACGAGGTCAGGAGATCGAGACCATCCTGGTTAACATAGTGAAACCCCGTCTCTACTAAAAATACAAAAAATTAGCCGGGCATGGTGGCGGGCGCCTGTAGTCTCAGCTACTCAGGAGGCTGAGGCAGGAGAATGGCGTGAACCCAGGAGGCAGAGCTTGCAGTGAGCAGATTGAGCCACTGCACTCCAGCCTGGGCAACAGAGCGAGACTGAGACTCTGTCTCAAAAAATAAATAAATAAAATAAATAAAATAAAATAAAAGCCTTAGTCAATGCCTGCCCTTTCCCTTGTTACTTACTGAAGAACTCCACTCACTGTCATCCTGGAGGTTCAGTGAGACCACTTACACTGCTCAACACCCTTCTATTTCCCCTTCTCCCGCCAGCAGAATGATTCTGCAACAAACTGCCTGGTGTTCAATTGTCAGCCATTTCAAACTGCTAAAGAAGAAATCCTCCCAGCTATTCTCCATCACCTTTATGATGCTGCAATCCTTGAGCCCACTGTTGCTGCCACTTCCCCCCCACCACCCCCCCCCGCCCCCGTGTGCTCCTTGCCATCTAACTTCCAAGTTTCTCTTTGCATAAACTTGGGGCTTAGGTAATTAGGAGCCCAATGACATCCAGAAGATTATTTTTAAAGCCAGTGTTCTGACCCCAAGACCTCCTCCCTCCTATCTCTCCATCAAGAGAAAGATGCTAATTTATGGCCCAGGAAGAGAAGAAGCAGTGTGGCTTTCTATTAATAGTAGCAAGCCAAGAAGCAAGAGATGGATATTCGATGCCTGGGTTTTTCCCTAACAGTTAAGTTGAGCCTTGGTGGAGGTTAGCATGCCCCTTAAGCCAAGCCAAGGTGGGATCAGATCCCACACACAAGGTGGCCCTGGAAAGTTACTGCCTCTCTCTGGATTTGATGCTCCCTTTATAAAATGAAAACATATAGTTCATCTCATAAGCCCCCTCTGTCTCTGATAGTGTATGACTATGTGGGAAGGTAGGAACCAGATGAGAGCAAATGCCAGGGCATTACAGGACCAAGCCACCAATCCTGATGCGAACGACAAGCCTTGGAGGAGTGGCTCCCAGAGCTTGGGTAGCCTGATGCTTCCTCTTTCTTTGCAAAATGCTCTGAAGGGTTGGGACTGGGGACAGGGGTGGGGCTATAAAAGGATGAGGAAGTATCTAAGAGCAGCTGGTTATTCTTCCACTCACCCTGCCCTCCCCTCTCACAGGCAGGTGGATGACTCAGCTGGAGAACAAAGTGGCTTCCTGAGGTGGAGTTTCCAGCTTGCCCAGCCCTTCCCCATTCTCCAGTCCCAGTAGAGATGGGGTACGGATGAGTCCATAATTCAACACCCTTTTCTCACCACCCAGCCAACACACACTTGCATTGCTCCATCCTCTGCCCCTGTATGGAAGATACTTCTCCCTGAGCTTAGTCCCTCCCCCACGCAAACATCAACTTCTCTTTTATCCATATAGGATCATCCCCTGCTCCAAAGCCAACAATTTATTCCCCAAAACTTTAAAGTAGCCCTCACTTTTCTGGTGAAAATGAGAAGAGGCACTATCAACTGGCTGAGGTTCTTTTAGGCATTGAGCTTCAAAGGCTCTCCTGCCCTAACTCAGTCAGTCATGGGATATCCCCAAAAAGCTTAAGAGCTTAGCCTTTTTCTCTCAGCTGGGCTTGGCCCCATAGATCAAAGACATTCCTTGTTAAGGGTAAGGTGGAGCTACTGCAGATACAGTTTGCCTTTAGAGATATGGACAGGAGCACTGGATAACAAGACATGTAGTGAAGGAAAACATCTTGATTGGTATCAAGAGAAGATGGTGTTGAGTCCTGACTAAACTACTTACTAACATTAGGAATTACATTAGCAAATTTTCTGAGCTTCACGTTCCTCATTCTAAATTAGTAATAGTCCTTTCTGCCCAGCCCTATTCACGATGTAACAAGTTTCAAATGACTTAACTGGAATGAAGACTATAAGTGCTACGTAAAGTGGTTACTCCTTGTGTGTTAGAAAATATGCAGTTGAGGCAGCTGCAATAGCCCTTCTTTAAATACTACTAGTCATCAGCTTCCAAACCAGAAGCTCTGTGCCCTATTGCCTTACTCCTTAGCTGGTGAGTTCAGAGAACCCAAAGTGGGACAGATGGGCCACCCTGGGGTTCTTGGACTTACCACCACTTCCTTGTACTAAAAAACTAAACACCCACTAAGAGGCAAATTTATGTGGCTTGGGCAGGTCACAGTCAAGGGCCCACAGCCCCTTTTCCCCATGTGAGCCTCAACCAGCATCTAGGCCTATCTAGCCTCCCTTTAGGCCATGCTGGTGCTGGCTGAGATCGTTCAGTGTCTTGCAAGGATATTTTCTCCTTCTCTCTAGAGTCATATGCTAAAGAGGCCACAATCTTAAGACATGACTAAAGCCAACATCCCTCTCAACTTCTGGGCTAAATTGTGATGGAAAGTGCTCTGAGCCTAGTTCTACAGAGTTTGCTCTGCTACTGATAAGTAGTGTGATCCTGAGGAAGTCAATTCCCACTCTAAATCTCATAAGCAATGACTTCCTCATAAGCAATAAGAGGAGGAGGAGAGAGATAATTATTGCTCTACCTATACCACAGAGTGTTGTAAACACTTAAAGGAACTAATGGGTGAACATATTTTTGTACAAGATTGAGGAAATACTACCTGCTGAAACAAACATCAACAGAATGGACATCTACTTTAACAGAAAAGTAAATCCTCTTCCAACCAGTTGCCTTTTATGGGAAATAAGACTACTTGTGGTGGCATACATCTAGCTACTTTGTACATATGGAGTGTTCTGGCTTTCAGGGTCCCAAGGTACATCTAAGTCATCCACTGAGTTGCATTATCACTTTCACTTTTTACCATTTTCATTACTCTCACAAGTTGGAGACAGACAGCATAAATAAATAGCAACCCAAAATGTAAACTGTGGTAGTTCTAGTGACAGATCATCCAAGAATTTCACCATCTGCTACCTTTCACAGAAATTTAGTGCTGAGATGCCTTTTAGATCACTTCTATCAACTCAAGCAACCCAGTGCTTGTGTCTAGCTCCCTTGTCTAGCACAGCCTCACAGATGAAGGTCAGAGCTGCTACATTAGAGTTTACTGCTCTTTCCAGGCAAATCCTGCCTTGCTTGGGACTATGTGCAGGACGCAGTGATCTTCCCCAAAAGGAGAATGGTATAGAGGCTGAAAGAGGGAATCCCCTTTCCTTCCGTGGCTCCTAGTCACTAAAGAACCTTTCTTTCTCCAGTGAAGCTACAGTACCTCATTTCATACTTGGAAACCAGCCTGCATCCTTTTGTACTCTGAAGTCTTGGGGATGGTACAACTATACAACTGAGAGGTGGCAGGAGAGGAAGCATGAGCTCTAGTATCAGAAAGATGCTGCTGAAATGGGTTTCAGTAAGCATTGACAAGAACAGGATAAGCAACCCAAGAACACGTTATAGGCTTGCTAGAAAACAGGAACTTTCCAAAGGCTAGCTTAAGACTGACGTGCTTTTTACACCTCAATTACACTTCAGTCTACCCTATTCTGATCATGAGCTCCTGGAGGGCAGGGATACTGCTAAGAGTCTGCCACTTATAGGCTGTCAAATTGCTGACATCTGTGCTAAAACATGCACGCCTACTTCTTCTGAACCTAAGCTTCTCAGTCATCGAAAACAATTCAAGCCAGGTGTGGTGGCACGTACTGATAATACCAGCTACTCAGGAGGCTGAGGCGGAAGAATCACTTAAGCGCAGGAGTTTGAGACCAGCCTAGGCAACATCTCAAAAAAGAAGAATTCACAAGAATATCATCACAGAATGCACAGGCCAAGGAGTCCAAAGGCATGGATTCAAGTCTTGGCACTGACATTTACTAGCTGTGTGACTTTAGCTAAGTCACTTCATATCTCTGAGCCTTCATCTCATAAAATGCAACTATCAGCAATCCTTGCAAGAATTTACAAAAATTAAATAATACATGTCAAAGCATATTATGCATATCTTGAATTAATACCTGACTACTAAAAACAAAAATGTTCCCGTCCTCCAAAAACATAAGTTTCTTTGGAAAAAGAACTCTGCCTACCTGGGAGAGCACTTCTCAACACATTTAATAAGTAAATCAATCTTGGATTATCCTGGCTTTTCCAGCCCTAGGATCCTGAAGGCACATAAACTCAACTACAGTCTGCTTCTGGTATTAACATGAAGACTTGTATTCTTGTTTGTCCTAAGAACTCTCTCTTGCCTTGCAGATTACATGAAAGAATCCGTGTGCAGTTCTAGTACTTGTTCCTTGAATAGCAGTGAAAACCCTTACGCCACAATTAAGGACCCACCCATCCTCACCTGCAAGCTTCCAGAAAGCAGCTATGTAGAAATGAAGTCGCCTGTGCACATGGGGTCTCCGTACACAGATGTGCCATCCTTGTCGACATCTAATAAAAATATATATGAAGTTGGTAGGTGTCTCAAATAAGTAACTTAGTGAAATCCGGGCAATAATGCAGCATTTGAAGTAAAAGCAAGCCCTCTCCACTCACCCCATCTTGACCACACATCCTTCTTTTGTTGTTTTTTAAGGCATCTCTAAGGTGAACTGTCTTTCCTAGGACTGCCCTCCCTCGCTAATGCAGGAATTATTAAGTTGGTACAAATTATTATATACCAACAAAATTATTAGTTGGTACAAATTATTGTACCAACTCTGCTTTAAAAAACACCAGGACTAATATGAAACAAATACTGGGGGTGGAAAGTGGGTGCGCGCGCGCGCGCGCACACACACACACACACATACTTCAACTGATTGTTGATACAAATCTCATTTTAAAAAAGAAAGCAATCAGAGACATTGACAAGTTTCTAAATCACCTTCTGCCTTCTCCCAGTTTATGTCCCTGGGCTCACTGATAAGACTCCTACCTCTAGGATATTTTAAATCCTTTTGTGTTGACGAGAGGCTTGGATTTTGACAGCACATTCACTTAGTTTTCCATCTCCTGAGCAAGCCTGAATCCTAAGCCTCATGTATTTGTCATAGATTTATAAATCCCTAGCTCCTTTCCCCAAGTTAAGCAGAACTCTCTTCCTCTCCAACAAGGCAACCAAAGCTAATCTGTTCTCTGAACTCATTTTTCACTATATTTCTTAGAGCCCACAGTCAGTGTGGTCCAAGAAGGTCGCGGTCATAACTCCAGCTATATCCAGAATCCATACGACCTACCTAGGAACAGCCATATTCCTGGTCATTATGACCTCCTCCCAGTAAGACAGAGCCCTGCCAATGGGCCGTCCCAGGACAAGCAATCTTAAGAGGGATAAGCTTCTCTCTTGCAGTGTGCTCTACTGAATATTCTGACTCTCTGAAAGAAGACAATCCCTTGACTTGAAGTAATGGTACAGACTGGCTCCAGCTGCATGTTAGTTATTACGTTCACCTGGAACTAAAGAAGAGCGTCCAGGTGGGACTGGGATAATTGTTCAAGGAATTGTGTTCTCAAAGGCAAATCCTATCACCCACTCAGCCCCAAATGCCCTGGATATGATTTTTAAAACATTTTAAGATATAACAACTCATCAACATCAGCTAAATATAGCTGATACATATATATTTATCTGAAACGTGATATTTTAAAAACATGTAGGTTTAACCAACCTTCCTAGGACAAAAAGGAGACTGGGGAGGGAAGAGGATTACTTTAAAGCACCTAAAACGTATATGTACTTTTGGTTGCTGTTATCATCAACATCTGTTTTATTACTGAAGACAATTAGTACATAGACATGAACTGTTCTTAAATAGAACAGTCTTAAAATATCTGTACATATATGTCTGGTCCATCAAATTACAACAGCCAAGATTACAGAATCTAGTATATAGTCTTATGCTGACAACTTCCATTTTAAAAAAACAAGACTTTACTTTCTTCTGCCCCGATAGGTTTAAATACACACACATAAACACAGACACACAGACACATAGACACACATACACACACACACACACATATCCAAAGTGCAGCAACAAGTCTGCATCAAGATTCCTAGGGCAGCTTTATCAAATTTTGCCAATTCGAAGTTTAAGGACATTACAAGTCAGTGCTGGCTATGTCATACCTACTTAGTCCATTCAACACCTGAATCATTCCATGTAAAACAGAGCTCTAAGATGATCCTTTAAGCAAGCAGTCACAGACTGGTTGGGATTAAGTATCCCTAAAGACGGCTAGTTGGCCTCCTCATTTTATTTGGTCAGCATCCCTTGACTCAAAAGAATACTTGCTTCCAAGTAGTACTTCATAAATCTTGGGATTGATGTAGTATGAAACCTAAAAGTATACAGGAAATTGGACAAATGTGGATATAGGAAATTTACATTGCTTAAAGTACATTACGCTTTTTGATGGAACTAAATGAAATGATCAAAAAAAGAATGAACTGTAACCAGTTGCTGTAACGTGATGTAAAAAGTTACTGTAAACAGCAGGGGATATGAAGTCCTTCCACCTTCTATCTTAAAACTACTACTTACTGAGCTAGCCCAATATGCATTACAATGAGCTAATGCTCCAGATCCCAGTATTCAGATGTGTCTGTACCTTCCACTATGAACATAGATAAACTGAGGCTCAGATGAGTCCAAATGAAGTCAAATCCCAAGCCCTAAAGAGAACCTTCTCACAAGAATTAAAAACAAAAAGGGCAAACCTAGGAAGCTAATGGCTACTCCTGTACCACTCTATTCACTGGTACAGTCCAGCCAGTAAAAAACACTTCCAAAAAGATATACAGAAGAGGAACTAAATGATTACAAAGCTGGAATACTGCTACAGCAAGTATGAGAGTTCTGAAACCCTTGACAGAAATTGGAAGCCTGCCATGGAACACAATACTTTGGGCAATAATCAGAAAAAGCAAAAAAATAAATAAATGAGTACATCTCCCCTTCCCACGTCACTCAAGGCATAAGCAAATTTTACTGTTAGAGGAAAATATATAATACTTACATGAATGCTGCATGTGTGCATGGGAACAACTGATTAGCAATAGTAAATTTACTTTCCAAAAAAGCCTTATTAAAACATAAATATTAGAAAATTACTTTGTAGACCCAAGTAAATATTTCTCATACATATGTAGAAAGAAATATAAGTAAGCGGCTTACCTCAGTATTTCAGGGCAGCAAGTGTTTGTGAAGCAAAGATGAAGAAGCATGAAGATGTCAGATTAGCAAGGAGAAACTTCAACTCAATCCCAGGTTTTCTCTTCTTCCCTTATCCTGCATGTATAATAACTGCTGCCTGGCAAACTACAAACAAGCAGCATTACTGAAGTTTCAAGTTTCGCCTCTTTTGTCAACTATCCTCTGGGCAAAGGTATTCAGCAAGAGGTGGAAAGACTAGGCACTGAATCAAGAGATTTCAGTGTTACTCTGGTCAAGTTAGTTGCCCTCTCTGGGCTCCTTTTTTTTCTATGCATAAAAAAGGGGAGAAGCAGAGAGTGGGAAGACAGCTCTAATAACCCTTCAGCTCTAGCATTCCATGACTTTTTAAGGAAATATAATACAAGTCAAACCAGGCAATACAGAGAAGGGAAAGGCAGAAGGTGTGATTATGGTGACAATAGCTGCCTTCACCTACCGAAGAGTTATCAGTAAAAGACATTTCAATCTTACAAAGCAACTGTTAGAAACTTCTAACACCATCACAAATAGGTTCATGGTCAGCCTAAACATGTGCACTGTGCATTTTATGGGTGACTTTGAAAGATCTCAATTATTTTTCAGAAACTAAATTTTCAGACAAATATGTGTACAATTAAAATGAATGAAAGAAAAACCATTATTGTACAGTAGTATTAATGAGACTGTGAAATCGCAATACTTTTTTAAATCACAGATTTGTAATATATATGTTCACTGTGCAGAGGGATTGTACCTTGTACAAAATAAAACAAATTTCTCAAACTAATTTAACAAGAATGCATACTGTTGTGTTGCAAATGGAAAACACGTTTATAATCTACACCTTAAGTTTAAGGGTAGAACTAACCTACATCCTGCTTGGGCACTTTAAACAGCCGGAAGAACGAAAATTATTCTAGTAGATGCTTGAAAATAAGTGAAAAACTTGTATGGAATTTTTGACAGAGAAGTCTCTTTCTTTAAAATAATAAATGTGAGCACCATATTTTTATTCATGTTCAAAAGTTATTTAAAAATCTCATATACATTCAGTATACTAAAATTAGAGGGTTTCTCAGCTTTCACAAATATTTGGACTCAAAGACAACTATTACAGTTTGTGCTCAGCCCCAGAGGCACAAAGGTACTTACATGGAATGAATAAGGGCCAGTGTAAGGACCACTTAATTTCTATAAATGCAATGAACAGCTTTCCACGAGTAGAAGTTATCATCCAGTAGAGTTACTATGGGTATATCTGTTTTACAAACTTTAAAGACATAAACTTGTGATCAAACTGGTAAAGCAGCAACAGGGTTACTTTTTAATAAAATACAGATGCTAAAATATAGCTTACTGAGTTCATTCAAATAAGTTTAAAATTCCTCCTTCATAGTTCCAAAGGTTTGTATATAATCCTCATATGTATATAACCCTCATATTCTGAAGACCCATTCAGAAGAGATTACTAATAGGTAATTCTCAAGAGCTATGAGTTGACATCTCAGTTAAAGACAAAATATAATCAAGAGTTTTAAGACTAAAAAAGATATTTACTGACAGTAGTATAAGATTATGCACCACAAGTCTCAGAATATTACTCAGTACTACGAATGATAACTAATGGCCAATTGCTGCAAGTTGTGCACTCAGGAATGACACATTAGCCATTCATTTAACCAGAGGGAAGAAAGAGGCCCATTTAATCAATATGCAGCAACCGGAAATGGAAAATCTTTCTATGAAGGGATGAATACATGGGGGGTTCATTGTACTTTTATACTTTCGTATAATTATATATAAGTATATATTTATATAATTGTAATATATAATTCTGTATAATTTTAATAAAAACTTTAAAATTTGAATAGTAATTCTCAGCTCCCCAAGCTACACCAGAATGAACCCTAAGATTAGCCCTCTCACTCTTTTAGATGGCCCTCCCTAATTGTCCTGACATGGAATTGTCAAGGGGAGGGGGAGATAGATACTATGAATGTAAATACAGGTTGAGTATCCCCTATCCAAAATGCTTGGGACCAGAAGTGTTTCAAATTTGGGATTTTTTCAAATTTTGGAATATCTGCATATACATAATGAGCTATCTTTGGGATGGGACCCAAGTTTAAACATGCAATTCATTTTACACTTCATATTCACCTTGTACACATAGCCTAAAGGTAATTTTACACAATATTTTTAATAATTTTGTGCATGAAATAAAGTTTGTGTGTATTGAACCATCAGAAAGCAAAGGTGTCACTGTCTCAGCCACCCATGTGGACAATCTGTGGTGGTTTGCAACACCATCATTCCTGACTGTGAATTTCTAAACTACCAATAAGTAATTCATTTTCTTACACTTATTCACACATTCACACTAGTATTTACAAAATATGATCATCAATCATTAATACAGGGAAAAAGAATGTGTTCAGGGTAACTAAGCAGCACAGTAGCATCACCAGAGTATCTGTACCAGCAGTTAAACCACCACCACCACCAGCTGGCTTTCAGTCTCCACCTACGATGCTGTTTTGATTGAAAGGTTACTGTACACCTATGCGGGAACACTGAATAAACTGTGTGTGGCGTGCCTGCATTTTGACTGTGACCTGTCGCAAGGTCAGGTGTGAAATTTTCCAACTGTGACATCATGTGAGTGCTCACATTTTCAATTTTAAAGCATTTTGAATTTTTGGATTAGGGATGCTCAACCTGTATGAAAAAAGCATGTTCCCTGCCCTTGTGGCTCTTACAATGTAGTGACTACCAAAGGGGAGAGATAAATGGAGAGCCCTGGTGATCAGTGGGGTGCTGATTATGTATTTTCTTCCCTGGGCTTGCAGAGCTAGAAAGAATAAACAATGCTCTAATCCAAACCCACAGAAAGTGGAAGCTCTGCTCTTTAGCTTCAGTTGTCAGATTCCCTCCTCATTCCACCTTCTGCTTCCCAAGCCACTGTCCAGTCTAGCAGATGGCCTTCCAGATCCTTGGGTCTGAAAGCATGGGGACTGTACAAGCATGGGGACTGTCTGAAAGCAATGGTACTGTTATTTAGGCATCCACTCTAATGTAAATCAAAACTAGTAAATGAGGACCCCAACTGCCTCCTCCAGAATTGGTTTCACATCAAAGACAGCCTATGGAAAGTGTTGCTTCTTGGGGCTTCCCAGACTGTCCCATCTCAGGCATGATCTTCTATAGTATTCTTCGGCCCATATGATGAAACACTTTGGCACAGAGGCTAGTACAATGGTCAGCAACTTCTTAAAAGATATGACAAGGAACAGTACCCTCTTCCCTAGAGATACCTTAGAAAACGGTATGCTGAGAGATTAGAGGTTGTCAACAGGGGGATAGACACTAAAAACAGTACATTATTCATTGGGATGAGAGTTAAAAAGATCTGAGATTTTGTGGTTTGGAGCAAGGTTAAGTTCCACTGACTCAAACACAGTAAAGGAATCCTGTTGGCTGCTAATTCTCACGACCATCACTGGTACTGGTAACATAGCAGTTAGCCAATATACATAACATTTTGTGCTCACACCTGTGTCAGAAACTATCCTATAATTAATAAATGTCAAAGACTTGAATTCAAATAATGTTTTGACTATTAATTAGATCACCATATCAACAACCCCAAAATACCATGTATGTCATGTACATGCACACATAAACCTGTACACCTGGATTTAATCACTGGTTCTACTGGATAGCTAGCCTGTGGATTGATCTACTTTCTTGTAGATTCCCATTAAAGAAATAATTTTTTAAAAATTAAACACAAAATGTTTTTAAAAGTTCTCTCCCAGACATGAGTATATTTTAAAGTATATATTAAAAGCCAGCAGTTTTTTTTTTAACAGCAAAAGCCATAAAACAAGCAGTTCTCAATTTACAATTAATATAGCAGCCCATCAAGTGCTCCTCCCCCTTAGCATATATGGTACTTTGATGCATATTATTGATATTGACAGTCATTTTGCAAATAAATGTTCTGAAAGCTTTCATCCTATTTAAAGGAGTAAACATGGAAATAAAGGTACCATTTTAATCAGGTTATTGTGATAAGACCAAAAACATTCCACAAAGTGTATACCTCATTTTGACTTCTCTATTAAATTTAAATTTGAGTTAGAATGTTAATAATTTGGCTTTAATAGAAGAGAGAGTTCATTCAGAGAATTACAGAGTTAGAGTTGGGATGAATCCCCAGAATTTATCTAATCTGGTACTCTCATTAATTGGAAGAATGTGAGGCTCAAAAATGAAATGACCACAAGAGCCATGACTACAAACTCTTCGTTACTCAGTACAGTGCTCTATCATACCAGCTACTTTCACTCTTTTAACCCACAGTTTACCATATTTTCTAATATATGCTAGTATATTGCCTAGTACACAACATCCTTTCAAATATTCTTTCTTTATTCTCCAATTCACTTTTCAGGAGAATAGATAACCTCAATCATATTGATTCTCAGCCTAATGGTCTCCCTTACATAAGTTATAATGACATTAACATTTTGTATCACTTTATTGTTACCATCAACCTCCTACAGTTTGGGGGGAACCAATCATTCTTTAAAACATTAGAATGACAACTCCAGTTTACTTGGCACATTGTATAGGTGAGTGGGAAAGACCTGTCAAATCCCAGAAAGGGGCGTGGCACCAGCACCACTCAACCAGAAGAAAAATCTCTCTTTGGCGCTAGTGTCATAGCTCCCTATCTGTTCTGCTAACCTATTAAATGATGTGGTGGAAGAGGATCCTTTCACAATCTTTGTTCATTTTTTTATAGAGCAAATGGAAGTCATACATAACCTTTTACAAAATTCATTTTTTGTTTTGTTTTCTAGGTTTATGATATTTGTGAGACATCAGAAAATCAATTTATATTTTTTCCTCTGTTAAAACAAACAAAGCAAGCCCCCTAAACTGAAACCTAACAGGTTAGAATAAGTTCTTAATTATCCACCCAGCCTTTGAATTATTTTGCTTCCGGTGTGGGCCAAAACTAAGTAGTACAGCTTCTTCTCTAAGGTAGATGGAAGAGATTATAACAATAGCTCAAGCCCACGAAAAGCATTTGTATTTTATAAATACAAGTCAGCAAAGACAAAAATTAAGATATTCATTTTCTCAATGATCAAAGAAATGTGACCAGCTCTGATGGGCAACCCAAACTCAAGAAGTCTAACTTTTCTGCAGAACCCTTCAGAACTTAAAAGATCACTGATGTAAGGTCACTAGCTGGCACCTCTTCTTATAATTACAATTTAACATAGTCAATGCAATGGGCAATAACTTACCCTTACATAATGACAACTACTATTAAAAAGAAATCATGGCATTTGAGAACAATGACGTAAGATTAAATCAAGGCACCACGGCTAGCTAACTATTCAGGAGACTATATAACAGGTTAAAAAAAAATAATTCAAGGCTGGGCACGGTGGCTCACGCCTTTAATCCCAGCAATTTGGGAGGCCGAGGCGGGCAGATCATGAGGTTAGGAGATTGAGACCATCCTGGCTAACATGGTGAAACCCCGTCTCTACTAAAAATACAAAAAATGAGCCGGGCGTGATGGCGGGCGCCTGTAGTCCCAGCTACTCAGGAGGCTGACGCAGAATGGGATGAACCCGGGAGGGGAGGTGAAGCTTGCAGTGAGCGGAGATCGCGCCACTGAACTCCAGCCTGGGCGACAGAGCAAGACTCCATCTCAAAAAAAATAAATAAATAAAAATTTTTTTAAAATTCAAAGTTAAAATAACTGAAAATCAAGGTCAAATAGCAAAATACTTCTAAACTGCCGTAAGCCCTGAATTGTCAAAATATTTAAAAATGTATTGTTTCTTACTTGAGACAGTTTGTCTCCTTAGATACTACTCAGAACAAAGACACCTGTTGAAATGCAATTGAAGTCATTTTCTAATATCTAATATTTCCTGGAATTCTCCCAAGATCCAACCATACCCAAAGCAACATTTAGGTCTACACTTGGGTAAAAATTCTAAGTTACTTTATTCATTTTCAATTCACTATTTAGTTTTTCTCCTTTCTCCTTACTTTGTAAAAAATTTACCACCAACTTTCAATAAAATAGAGATGGATTCTTTTCCTGGGTCTGGTGACTCTGTTATATATGAAAGTACACACTACTTTCCTAATGTTTTTGGACATACTTTTTCCAAGAAAAACATAATTGAACTGCAGGTCTAAAATCAAAGCTGAATTCACATACTGATGCTCCCAATTCAATGTTTACTCAGTAATGCAAGAACCTATGCTTTTACATCAGGATTCCACGGCTGCATCCAAAGCACTCAAAGGAAAAATGTAATCTGACAACATAAGAAATAATCCCCCTATAACTGTTTATTAGAATGTGAATATATTCCAAATCAATAACTAAAAAAAAAAAAAAAATCAAATTACAGAGCATGCATAAAATACAAAGTAGCAATTTACAAATAGATATTATCTTCATAACCAATACACTAAAATAATAAAATGGCTATAGAAGAAAACCAAAATGACTGACTACAGCAATGCCTTCCGTGTGCCCCACACATCATGAGCACTGCAAGAGACAAAAGATTAACTATGAAATATAGTAATCTAAGCAAGCCCACACATACATATTTCGGGGGATTTCCCACCATCCTGAATAGTATCACTGCAGTTGACACACCACTTCCAGGAAACTGCAGAGTAAGTGCTTAATATTATCCACGAGAAAGCAAAACTAAATATTAGTGTGCACATTTCTGAATGAGAAACTAATTGCTTCATTGATTTCAACAATGTAGTGGAAGAAAACTATTTCAGGTCTCTACAATGCCTAAAATGCATTCTATTTAAACTCAAGGTACTATTTCATTTTACATACTAAAAGAATACATGCCTTTAAGTGGTACCACTTGAGCAAAAATTAACCTCTCACTGTATTCTTCAGACATACTGAAACCAAAGATTTAACTGGACTATATTCCATAATATACTGCAAAACTCAAATATTAGCATTGTTAAAATAATTATCCATGCCTGCTGGTGGATATGGTGATAAAACTAGGTTGCATTTCACTTACTGGAAGGTTTTAAGACAAAATTAACACTTCAAAATTTGACACTACCAGCATTAAACCAGTTATTGCCTGAGCAATAAAAGGCCACATCATCTACTGCTTGGAAATTATTATAGATCATTTAAATCTTTTGGGCTGCCTGATCATTGCAACAGAGGCACCTGAGATGGAATTCCACAAGTCCCTCCAGTTCCCAGCCTGCCAGGCAGCACTGTTTAACTTACGGCCCCATAACCATACTACTAATGAAACCGTAACAATCTCTTGTGTTTACTAAGAGAATTCTCCAGAAAAAGTGCCCCCCTCTCTAATCAACTTTGATGCTTACAAAAATTAAAAAACAAAATTTACTCAACTACATAAACCTATTAAGGCATTTTAGAAATTCATGTCCAGATAATGGAAAATTTTCAAGCTCTCAAAATCCTGCTATGTTTATAGGGCAATTCTTATATTTGTGGAAATATACACTGCATTGAGAGAAGAGTGTATTACCGATAAGCTGCTCTGTGGCAAAATGGTAGCTTATTTCTAAGGTCGTCTTAGTTTGATTTGATCAAGACCAATAGGCCTGAGCTTCAAGTGATCAAGTTCTATTATGTCCTACGTACAGTGACAGGCTTCCATGATAAAAAGTAAACAATAATTGAGGAATCCAAACATTCAGTTTATTAAACTAAGGCTAGTGAAGCCATAGCATGAAAAAAAGCTGCAGTCATTCGGGACAAGTAGATGATTTTATAAAGCTAAAATCAAAAGACTTAGGACATGGAAAAATTCATAAGTATGAAGTAATAAAACACAAAAGTGACACAAGAATTACAAATATATTTAAATCTCAGACCTGGGAAATGGACTATACACAGCCTTCTAGGGGAGAAGAGAAATGCCTTAGATGTTCTGACAGCACTGCACCTTTGGCTTGTTTTCAGTGGTTGGTGGAACATGAATAGGAACCACATTGTTGCTTGGAGACATGTCATTTTCGCGTCTGTCTGACATTTGCTTCTGAGAAACAATGCGGTAAATCTCTGAAGGAAAAAAGAAATCACAATACTTACCGTGAATAACCTATCATAGTTAGGATAAAAGATACATAGAGGTAGGAGATATATTTGCATCAAAGACCATAAGGAAACTGAACAGAGAATACATAAATTTAAAGTTTTATTTTCAAACAGTCACTGATTAGATTCAACCCTTTAACAATTGCCCTTGGGGTAAGAAAAGAAACAAAGGTTTTTCCATTTCAGAGGGAAAGGTTCACCAGTCAAATAAATCGCTGTTTAAAGAGACCTTAAAAAGGTCTACCAGGCCAGGCACATCACCTGAGGTCAGTACTTCAAGACCAGCCTGACCAACATGGTGAAACCCTGTCTCTTTAAAAATGCAAAAATTAGGCATGATGGCGGGTGCCTGTAATCCCAGCTACTCAGGAGGCTGAGGCAGGAGAATCACTTGAACCCGGGAGGCAGAGGTTGTGGTGAGCCGAGATCGCACTACTGCACTCCAGCCTGGGAAACAGAGCAAGACTCCGTCTCAAAAAATAAATAAATAAATAAAAGAGGTAAACCAATAGCATTACATAGTTTATGGACTTATGGATTCGAAGTAAACCATAAGAGTATTTTCAGTCTACCTTTACCCCAAAAAACAAAACAAAACAAAAATTGCCTACACACAATGACATTGTACCACACAAAAAAATAAATACCCAGCACTTTGGGAGGCCGAGACGGGCGGATCACGAGGTCAGGAGATCGAGACCATCCTGGCTAACACAGTGAAACTCCGTCTCTACTAAAAAATACAAAAAACTAGCCGGGCGAGGTGGCGGGCGCCTGTAGTCCCAGCTACTCGGGAGGCTGAGGCAGGAGAATGGCATAAACCCGGGAGGCAGAGCTTGCAGTGAGCTGAGATCCGGCCACTGCACCCCAGCCTGGGCGACAGAGCAAGACTCCATCTCAAAAAACAAAAATAAATAAATAAATAAATAAATAAATAAATTTGCACTATCAGATGCATTCGGTAGAGTACAACTTAATAAACATGCTAAAATCCCAATGGATTCTTGGAAGGGAAAAGAAGATAATGTGTTTATCAGTGACCTCCTGAACAAAACTTAAATTGTAATTAAAGAATGATACAAAACAGGCAACTTAAGATGTTATATGTAAACTCTATTTTTCTTTCATGACACTTAACAAAAATAATTTAGTGTCTGCCTTTTTCACTAAATGTTAAACTCTGTAAGGATCAAAACTGTGTCTGCCTTACTGCTGTACTGCAACATATAATGTGTTGTGATAAATAACTACAGGAATGTCACTAAATTCCTCCACAATAAGTATCTGTATGTAACACATTTGGTCTTATACCACACTGCCTAAAAGTTGTTCCCTCTGACTAGATTATAAAGTCCTTAAGAACAGAAAATGTACCTTATTTTTGTTTACTCTCCCAGTTGTCCCTCCAAAAAAACTACTCTCAAAAAGCAAGATAATTCTAAAAATGTGTCAAATTAACACAATTAGCCTCCTAATATGATGTACTACAAAAGACACAATGTATTCCTATGAAGGACACCATGTATTCCTGCCAAAAATATTTAAAACTAATTTAATCATGAGGAAATAATGAGATAAATCCAGACTGAGATGGGGATAAATGTTCTAAATTTGTGCTATCCAACGGAGTAGCCACCTATTTTAATTAAATAAAATTTAAAATCCAATTCTTCATCTAACTAGCCATATTTCAAGCACTCAATAGTAACCTGTGGCTACTCTATTCAACATCCCAGATACAAAACAAATCCATCTGTTGAGGCTCAGAAACCCATACTCCAAAATGGCACTTTGATATGCTGAACTAAAGAAGTCTCAAGGGGCCGGGTGTGGTGGCTCAAGCCTGTAATCCCAGCACTTTGGGAGGCCGAGACGGGCGGATCACGAGGTCAGGAGATCGAGACCATCCTGGCTAGCACGGTGAAACCCCGTCTCTACTAAAAAAAAAATACAAAAAACTAGCCAGGCGAGGTGGCGGGCGCCTGTAGTCCCAGCTACTCGGGAGGCTGGGGCAGGAGAATGGCATAAACCTGGGAGGCGGAGCTTGCAGTGAGCTGAGATCCGGCCACTCCAGCCTGGGCAACAGAGCGAGACTCTGCCTCAAAAAAAAAAAAAAGAAGTCTCAAGGTCTCTCTGACCTTCTGCTCCTCCTCATCCTCTCTCCCCAGCACAGGATGAAGCTGAAGTTCCTTCACCTGCCTGAGATCCAGACCCACCAAAAGGAACAATTATTTTTTCTTCCCCTCCCTGTAAGACCAAGAATGTAACCACACTTAAACAGACTCTTTCACGAGACAATGTACCAATTAATTTCTGTCCACTGATCCATTCATCCTCCCCAGTAATCCCCTCAACAGAATTCCTTTTCTCCTCCTTCCCATAACCTGTTTTGCCAGAATGGCATAAGCTTCTGAATGCCATCAGGAGGTGGGTCATCTCTCTGGTTCTCCCCGTGTACATGTTAATAAATTTTGTATGCCTTTTTTCCAATTAATCTGCCTTTTGTGAGTTGATTTTCCAGCAAACTTTCAGAGGTTTCTATTTAGTTCTCTCACAAAAGAAATGTAAATGATATAAAAATGATACAGCAGAATTCTTTTTCTTCCTAACCTCTACCTATCGTTTGGACCTTGTGAAAGGTCCAAAGCACAGCCAGGTGTGGTGGCTCACGCCTGTAATCCCAGCACTTTGGGAGGCCAAGGCGGGCAGATCACGAGGTCA